ATATTAATTAATTGATTGATTTGCAATTACATACTCCAATTAATTTGGAAAATTTTTGAAAAAAAAAGTAAAAAAAGTTTGATGTCAATTTTTTTTTTAAAATTAACCTAACAGATTTTTCTGAAAAACTACAGATATATAAAATTTTCAAAATCAATTTTGAGAATAAATATGCATTATATAATACGTGAAAGTAAGTTCCACAAAATTAATTGGAGTATGAGATAATTACAATAACTAATAGTCTGCATTGAAGTAATAAAATACCGATTTTTCTATATATTGAATTATTTTTTATCTCTCGCAGAACCTTCTATGGGCCGAAACGAATGTTGCCCCCTAAAATTATTCCTCATAATTATCCCACTAGTTTATTTTAAAATTGGCGAGTCACACTTCCCTAGTTTCCCTTGTCAGAGAAAGTACGTTTTTGTGTCGAATTTCGTAACTAAAAAAATATCATCAGCACTAAATAATTAGCATATTTGAGGTCACTTCATCGAACCATTAAGAATGAGTCCTGGAACGTGAAGATCCAATCATTAGATCAAAAGTTATTCAGGGTGGGTCCTTTTTTTTGGCGTACTTAACAAGTTTTCAGTGTAATTTTTGAACATTCAGTGTAAGAGTATAGCAGAACTACAGTAAAGAACAGATTCTTTAATACATCATTATCTGTTACATTAAGCAGGTTATTCTGTTATGTTCTAGTTGTTTCTTTGTCAGCTAACTGTTAAGACACGGTTCCCAGCAGATCACCGAAATCAAGCATCACTGACTGCGGTCAGTGTGCGGGTGGGTGACCACTTGGATCAGTCTGCGTAGCGACCGAGGGAGTGCGGTATTGGTCCTCGTTAAACTGTTCTACCGTAAAGTGCTCGACTTCGCGTGTAGGTCGTCGGGCTACCGAAGCGAAGGTGCCATTCCCTCTGCAGAGGATCAAAATTGTGATGGCATGTCTTCGGATCATCCTCAGGGATATTTCCCAGACCGTCGCCAATAGCCCATTGTGCAGCTCTAGTGCGACGCAAATGAACAAATCAATCAATCAATCAGCTAACTGTTGCTTGAGGCTTGGAACAACATTTTGTTGAAAACGTTACGTAGTTGCCTAAATCGCACCTCGTGTGCATTATTTAACCGTACTGGCAAGATTTAGAAGGCAAGTATTTACAACAAATACTGAACAAATCCAGCTTCAAGAAGCCATTTAAATTGCACTTTACCCAAACTGTCGAAAAGTGGCTGAGCTTTAATTTATTACCAAATTTTTCATACCGTGTATGAGGCTTATAATAATGCTGCTACAATTAAGAACAATGTTTAAAAGTTCATCAACTATTCTGTTGTGATAATCTTAAAATAACCTGACTTTTTAAAAAAAACTTTTAACATTTTTTTTTTGCAGCAGTTAACGTCATTCTATACGCGAACCAATCAGAAAAAAAAATCGAAACTATTTCAGTAAATTTAATAAGATTTAGTATCCCTTAAGATGAGATTTATTTTCTCCATTCCAATAAAGGAGAAAGTGGTGAAAAACATCTAAGTAATGGGCCTTCTGGTTAGTCAAATAGAAATCTAGTAATTATTGGATTGTAATGTGATTTGATAGACCGATTGTGATAGATAGATTGTAATGTGATTTAATAGATAGATGTGACTTAATAGATTAATAGTATATTTGATTAGATTGTAATGCGATGTAATTTGATAAATCAATCTTTACCAGTACACCATTTCTAGAAATAAATAAATAAAGTTAGTTATAGATCGCAAGAAAAAGCAGTCCAAAAAAAAAAAACAGCATTTATGCTCCCTTAACATTGTGCACTCTTAACATTTTATAGGCTTATAATACTGTTACTACATGTAGCAGTTAAAAAATCAATATCCAATTCCTCACTATGCTATTAAGTAATTGCTTTAGGCTGCACATGGTTTACTTATTTACTTAGTCATAAATATTTAACATTTGTGAGGGTGGTACGATTTCAGGAGCAGGTGGTACGAATTAGGCAACCAGTTTCCTAAATTACAGGTTTGCAATATAGTGTTAGAGGAGAGTTTCCTAAATCGTAACACTTTTCACGTTTAAGTTTTTATCATTGACAAATCACTGACAATCACATTTGGAATATTTTAATAATAAAATATAGTCATTCGGCTACGTTTATTATTTTTTAGAGTGAACTTGCTGTACAAATGTTATTTTTTTGGTCATAATATTTGTTCAGCAAGTACACCGTAAAAAGTTCCGGATCAAACTACGGTAAAAAATACCTTCTTACCGTGAAATCCTGCTTGCAGGTCTTGCAAAAACAATTTTCAGTACACTCCAAAAATTTCCGTATAAAACTACGGTATAAAGTACAGGCACTTTAGATGCATCATCCGTAAAATTCATTTTAATGTAAAATTTGTCTTTATCGTAAAATATTATACTAATTACTGAAATAAATTATTAATTTTATTATAATAACACACAGTAATGTTTACCTAATTAGAGTGATTCACGGTACGGTAATTTTTATTTTAAAAATGACGGTATATTAGATTTTTTGTTCTACATGTTCCGGTAAAAAGTGCTGGCACATCCTTCCATTATTTGATCTAGAATTATTTACAGTGTACTTGCTGCATAAATATTATTACAAAAAAGTAATATTTGCGCAGCAAGCACTCTGAAGAAATATAAAAGTAGCCGAATGACTGTATTTTATTATTTAAATATTTCAAATGTTAGTAATCAGTGATCAGTAACAGATAAAAATTTAAAAATGAAAAAATGTTACGATTTAAGTAACTCTCCTCTAACACTATATTGCAGACCATCGATATTTCGAGAAATTAATCATAAGCTCAAAAACACATGTTATCAATGAACAACGTTATGAATGAAATAAACAAATGAACGAACAATGCTATAAATGAAATTTGTGATAAGTTATAATTTAAATGGCAGTCACGGTCTTTAAGTAATATTTCTATTCCCAAAATTATAAATATTTGTCAAATTTTTTTCTCCATAAGATCAAGAAACCCTTTTCTTTCTTCAACTTAAGGACCTAACAACTTTTAATTAAACAGCAAATTATTTCGACAACGATGTCACAGCCCTGTCTTTCTACTCAATAAGAATTCACTACATTATAAAAATAACACCCATGAGAAAGAGATATTTATTTCCCCTTCATTTAAATAAGATGTTTAGTTAAAACTTGGTAAAGAAATCATACTTTTGAAAAGATAAAACACAGTTTGCTTTATATTTGCTTGTTTTTCTCTAAAATTTAAATTATTGTGTATGCATACCTAAATATGTTTTTAATACGCTAAACACGCTTTCATTAAGCTAACATCAAATGTGTTCAGAGGCATCGGTAAGGCATATACCAACAATGCTAAAACTGACCTTTTCTCGATGTATCTTTTCTCAGCATCTAAACAAGATATTTCTTCAGTTTTTTTCCCCACAGAATTCCCCCAGAATTTCCCCACAGTGTAAACATGTATATTTACATATACATGTTTACACTGTGATAACTGTTAATACATATCTTTGGCAAGAATTGTTTTTCAGAATTATGAACTGAGAACTTTAATTTTTAAAAAAAATTCATCAACAATCTTTCATAGCTCAAAAAGTATTCTGTTAACGCTAAAACATCATCACCGTATACAACTGATACACTGCTGGACAGTTGCTAAGGACGGATAACGCTATCATCCATAGCTACCACAAAATGAAAGGAAGCAAAATGTGGAAAATTAGAATAAGTGCGGGATATAGTAAGAAGAGGTATGCGTATGCAAATTTTTTTTCCACGTCTGTTCATCACGTGATAGCGCTGATAAGAGCTTTAAAGGTTTTGACGCGTGCGGAGAGTTGTTGTTTCAAGTCAAAGTTTTATAGGAAAGATTTAGTTGACGAACTTGACATTTTCGTCATGTCTTCCCGATATCACTTAGATGATTTTAAGCGTGGCCGAATTATTGGAAAGATCGAAGAAGGGCGAAAAATAACAGATGTTGCCAGGGTGTTCGACATCGCTCACAGCGTTGTTTCACGTATGTGGAAATCATTTAAAACTACTGGAATGTGTAGTAGGCGGCACGAGGGAGGTCGTGTTAGAAGTACGACGCCTGCAGAAGACAGATACATCGTCCTATCAGCAAAAAGGAACAGGCGCACCACAGCTCAGCAGGTGGCAAATCAGTTTCTTGCTGCCACAGGAAAGCAGATCTCTCGAAAAACTGTTGCCAGATGTTTGAGGGGAGGAGGACCATACTCCCGCAGACCTGTAGTGTGAGTCCCATTGACCAGGCAGCACCGTACTGCCCGTTTGTAATGGTGTCGTGAGCATCACAATTGGACTGAACAGGACTTGGCATGCGTACTGTTCTCAGGTGAGAGTAGGTTCAGTCTGTCATCGGATTGTAGACGCCAACTGATCTGGCGCGAGAGTGGTACTGGTTTTCGTCCAGAAAATATCCAGGAAAGGGACCGATATCCGACATGCAGTGTCATGGTGTGGGNAAATTTGTAAAGCACTCTTAAAAATATATAAATAAAGATTACAACTTTTAAACTAATTCTATTTTGAACAAATATAAATTGGTACTTGTACACGCTTTTGAACTAACATTACACAATTTTGTTCATCACATATCAGTTTTGATTGCATAATCGGTGAATGGTACACATGGTATAAGTCAACGAATTAAAATTTGTTCGAAAACAATCATCACTCTTCTAATTATCTTCATTATAAATTCATTTCAATACTATAAGATTTTTTCAATTTACGCTTTTAGAATTATATGTAACAAAAAACACGATAAATGATCGAGAAAATCAATTAGAGCTGAGAGCGACTCATTTATAGCATATTTGTTTTGAAATTGATTTATTTCTCTTTTATTTTCAGACGAATTAAAGAAAAACAATTAAAAAACCAATTAAAGCCTTAAAATTATTATTAAATTTAATAACTTACTGGCAAGCATGTCGGTAGTTCATCTGCAATGCATAGCTTTCCTGCCAAACTTATAAGCCATACGGAGAAGTAGACTGTATTTTTCCAGACGTTTTTTTCCCACATCATCTTTTTTAAAAAAAAAGTTGTTTGATTAGATTCACTAATGTCAAAAATACATGCACTTAAATAAGCTTGTCAGTATTTGCCATGTTTTTTACAATGGATTTCAAAAGATAAATATTTATAATCTAATTCGTAGTACAATTCACCACATTTCTGTCTCGCGTGTCCTTATACGAGAGTCGCGCGCTCTTCGGCATCTGGCTCTTGCAGGGAAACGGAAAATAGATTGGTTTTAGGGTTGTTAGTTTTATTAAGACAAAGCAGGGTTGCATCTTTTTGTCGTGTATCTTTAGTCACGTTTTTTTTTCTTCTTTTTCTTGAAGGTTTCATAGGAGTCCTTTGATTTCTGTTTTTTTTCTTTCCCTCTTTTAAAATCATTATTGCAAAAATCATATTAATAAAATAAGAATGATTTTGTAAATACATTAAATATAACTAAAATGGAATATTATATTTCATTTTTTAATGAAATGTAACATTTGTAAATGAAATGTAACTAATTGTTTGACTCAACGGTTGAAATTTTGAATTACATTAAAAATATCTTTAATAAAATAAGAATTTTTTTCTTTCAAGTACGGATATCAAAGATAAATTCCGAAAAAGTTTTAGGATAAAGCTTGCTGAACTTACCAAAAATTAATTTTTTTATAATGCTTATTTAAACTTTTTTTAAAATTTTAATAAGCTTACAAATTTTTGTTATAAAAATTCTAAAAATATTCTTTTAAAAAATCGTTTTCTATGTATCTAAATACAAGAATTATTTTTTTAAAAAATCAGCAATGAATGTGCAAACGATAATTATTGTATTTATATATATAAAAAAGTGGTGATGGGGGACTAGTTTATGAACATGTAATAGAATGTTTTCAAAATTGAGAAATCAGAAAACAGCTGATTTTCCCCTTAGATTTATAAAAACTAGACACAAAATCATTTGAGGGGAAAAAAACATATGATTGACTGTTTCTAGTACATTACTTTTTTTTTTTAAATACACAATTGAAGGATAATTTTTAAGCTTGAAGTTTATAACATATGTATCACAATCAAAAAATAAGAAAATTTTGACTCGATCTCGATAGGCCAACACTCTACTTTAAACACATCCAGTTTTAAAAAAAATAACATTTTGTGTACTGCAAATTATAAACAAGAAACTAGCTAATAAATATCAACTTATAATTAAAATTATTTCATAAATTTTAAATTAAATTATAATAATGGATTGGAAGAAATATTAAATATTTTACAAAGTTAACTAAATTCTACAAATGTTGAACATATCACGTTGACGATGATATATAAAAAAAGAACACTGATTATGAGTGTTCGTTCAAGCTGTTTTGTTCATATATATATATTAATTTTCTATAATACTCTTAATTTTCAATTTATTTCAAAGTTAGTTACTTTCTACGCGGAAATGGCAACAGTTTAAATTAAAAAAAATTAAGTCATGTAAATATTTAGAACAACTATTCATTTTTGTAGTTTTTCCTCTTTTCAGACGATAAATTATTTAGTTCTTTTCAGAATCGTAAATGGGGGACGAAACTCTAGTTCTCAAGCAAGACATTATAGGAACTATTTCTAATAACAATAACAACGTAGTTGAAAATTCATTTAGAAATGAAGAAAAGCTAAAGAATATAGTTGATGAGTTTGGTGAGCAAGAAAATCCAGATGATGGGCTCAATGAATCTCCTTTTTCGGAAACGCAAGAATAGTATTTCTATTATATTAGTCAAACTAAATTTCATGCATAATTTTACATAGTTTATGTTTTTAAAATTTTTACTTCGTTTCCTGTTTTGATTGTAAAAAATTGTCTTTTTGTGATTATTAAGTTTTTTATAGCAAAATATATTACTCAGATAAAATTATTTTGGCGACTAATATTGATCGTAATTATTAGCCAATTGTAAAAGTAATTCGTAAAACATGGCGACAAATACCCATTTTTTCTTGTTTATCTTTTAGGTTTTTTAAAGATGCCAATATTGTTGCAAAAAAAAAAGATTTCTTTTTAAATTAGAAAATTATAGAAAAAATTAAAATTATTAAATTTAACATACAACTTTTTGTAGTTTTTTAAAATAAATTTATATTTCTGTGAAAACAATTAAATGATAATTTACTTTTCATGTGACGAAGAGAAATACTTTCAGCAATATGGTAGTACTTATCCGTAAATTGGTGACCATAAAAAACCTATTACAACCATAGAACTTTTATTACTTACCTACATTATGCACAAACTTATTACCACAGCACGTATTATTTTTAATCCTAAACGTAATAGTATCCATTATCAAATTAATAAAGCAACACTGGCGTCAACAATAGTAAGGCGATTTTATACGGCCTCCTTTAACCGACAAGTAAGATGGTATCCCTTTGGTACTTTATGATTAATAAAAGGGCTACCTTTGATAACTTTAGGTTATGGTTTAGTAACTTTTAGTGCTTATCTTTATCAGCTGCAATCTTTTACTCATATGAGGATATTTTCTAGAAGCAACCAAATTTATGCTTTATTATATGTTTATTGGTTTATAAAATTTGTTTTAAAATTATTTAGACGACCAGGATCTCATTCATACGTTAATTGTGTCGTAAACTTTTTAAGGGTACTTTTCATTTCGTGGGTCCTTAAAAAAATCACCTAAGAATTATTGTAGCCAATGATGTTTAATATTTAATTGTTGTATTAGGCACGACTAGTATTGTGATATTAATTACTTACTGTATTTACATAGGTATCTATAACATAAATATTATTATAGTTTTTTTTACGGCTCCTCGAAACGGATTAATATCATCGCGAAAAAAAAAACAATGGGGAAGGAAAATAAATTTTATTGTTATTATGCAACCATTTTGACAATTTTCTTTAACAGAACGCTTAAAAGGTGTCGGTTTCCAAATTTGTTCCTTTAATATAAAAACAAAGATCGTCTAACTCTAATACTAGCCAGCTTTGTGTACCACAATAAAAACTGTTTTAAAAAGTATAATAGATGTAAAAGCTGCTATTTGGTTCGTTTGGTTGGAAAACAGCTTATTTGAGATTAGAATACTTTTTCTAATTTAATAAGCAGTTATACTTTATGAATTAGAAAAAAAGAAACTCGTGTTGTTGGCGGCTACGCAAGAATACTAAAATTAATATTAAAAAATTACAAATCCTTAAAAAAATACACTTTCCATTAATCTACTAAGAGTGAGAGAATAATTTTTATTCAAAATCCTGAGGCAACGAAAACTTAAAAAATTAGATACTCAATGCTTTTTCGCTTCTCATTCTTTTGCGTTCACATGCTTACTTAAACTTTTGTGGTTAAAAAATCATTTTAACTTTTTTAATTAGCTGATAATAAAAATAATGTAGTTTAAAATAGATTTTTTTAATATTAATTTTTAATCTTTTGTTACTTCAATATTATTCCAATAGTGATGAATATACTGAAAGAGCAACCATAAAGTTCGATTATGCTTCCTTCCCGCCTTTGAGGAGCTATAGTTCTTCTGCTGGTGAGATTCTAATGCAGTTTTCACCTAGAATTAGTGGTAATAGCTTCTAAAAGAGAAATTATTGAAAACTAGTGGGCTATGCCCCCTGCTCACTAACGCTTCCAAACATTGCTTTACAATCTTATATGGTTTGCTTTGCAAACCATGCCCGCTTTGCTCGCTACTAAAAGTTAAACCCTTTTGACATGTGGTTTAGCATAAAATCGTACGAATTTAGACTAATTACCTTTATAAGAAATTAAAGTTTTTAGTCAATACTAAATTATTGGAATAAAAGCTTTGAAATTGAAATAAATGGCATGCTGTATAGATTCACAACTTTGTTAAAAACACAATTATAAATTTTAGAGCTGTGAGTTATCACTGTAAAATGATCTAAATATTATTAAGAGAGATTGGAATAAGTTATATTAATATAGAAAAACACAGGAGAAACTAAAAATTAATTATACTTAAAAAACGAAACAGCATCATATTTCAAAGAATAAAATTATTGTGATTGAATCTGCTTAAGTGTAATTTAAACATACTATAGAACAGTTTGGATATTAAGATGAACTACTAGCTTTTAACCTTTCAGTTCTTCCTGGTTTATATCTCAGTTTGTTTCAGTTTATCGTTGTTCACTCGGGAAAGCTTTTTTATTCAGAAATTTGCAAACGTGTATGTTTACGCTTTCCCGCTTATGACAGCTTACACGCTTGATATTCAACTTTTTTGTTGCCAACGCTAAAAAAAAGACAGAGGAAAACTAAGTATGTTTCATATTTATAAAATGACTGTATACTAATCTTGTAGAAGTAAAATTGACTAAATATTAAAAGAGAGAACAAATAACGTGCTAAATATTTAAGTGTTAATGCTAATTTTATGAGAAAAATGAAACTTGTTGCCAAACATTTCGTCTGCATGTAGAAGAATTTCAAAAATATGTATAAAAGATTTCTTCTTTTCGTAAATTTAATAGATTATACGATTTCCCCTGTCTCCACACTTTTCCTCTCTCCGTTACCATGGTATCCGCAAATCTTGCTTTTTTTCCCCCTCGCTTGCATATATTCCTACTTCTGAAATATTCAGTCTTAGGGAGAGGGGGTAGAAAGCTTTTCATAACCATGGTAATCGAGGGGGAAAAAGCTTGAATAGTGGTAAGATCGCGTATGCTTAAAATGTCTACTTAATTTACGAAGAGTATAGTACGTAAGAATACTGTAAAGTTTTTATTTATCTGCATGGATCTCGTTTGTAGCACAACACATCACTGTTTTAAAATTTCAGTACTGCTTAAAAATAATTTACACTACCAAATCATCATAAAAAATGTTGATTTTCAGTTTGGCAAGCGATGACGGAAACAAGAATATCACTATGCTATCTGCAGATTCCGATCTTGGCAGAAAGTTGGATCTTCAAAACACTGGGATAAAAGTTAGTGTTCAATATTCAAAAGTAAGATTTATTTAAGCTATGAAAATATATATAACTTAGATGCTTATTTTACTCGTGCAGAAAAAAAACGCTATTTGCTATCATATATAATAGAATATTTTCTAACATTATTTAATAAGTAAGCGTTTTAGGAATCACTGATAAAAATACTAATTTTTTTTGGACAGTGAGGATATCAATTAAGAGTTGGTAAGCTCATCTATAACAGTAACACGAGATTAGAGATTTTAGGAAAATGAATTTCAAGGTTCATAGTCCTTTATAAAACTAACATTGCAACTTCATTTTAAAATATGTTATTACATGTTAAATGACAAAATACAAAAGTTATACAAAAACGATGGAATAGTTTGTGAGTTTAAATAAGTTTCATTTTTTAAAATTTCCTTTCTCTAAAATCTTTCTACCAATTCTATACAAATGAAGGATTTTGTCATTTAAAACAACGCAATTTCAAATTACATAAAAATTGTATCTCGCAATTCAAAATTTTTTCGACCATTTTTTATTATGTAATAAGAAATAAATTTTTATGAGAATTATCTATGGAAAGGTGGGTTTTAAAATTCTGTGTCAAATTTTTCTTCTCCTTTGGTGAAATGGTTACAAAAATAAGACGAAAAAAACAAACAAATAAACTGCTCTCCTGACTTAATTATTGGGACCATATTTTTCAGATAGCAGCTACCTCGATATTCTGAGGGATAGAGCGTTCAAGGGAGGCTCAAGGGATAGAGCTCTCGCCTTACAATTAGGTGAAACGGGTTCAAATCCCAGCGATGGCTGGTTGATTCGAATTCCGCACCCGGCTCGCACCGACCACAGTGCTGACGTAAAATATCCTCAGTGGTAAATATCATGGGTGGTAGACCCTCAGTGTAGACCCTTTGCCGTCAGTCTAACCGTGGGAGGCTTTCGCGGTGTTCTTCNGCGCGCCGAAGCTTATCAATTAAAACGTATTAGCGTTTTATATAATATAGATCAGACATATGATGCTCACTACGTGCTCTTGAGCGCCGAAGCCTATCAATTAAAAATGAAAACTGTTGCCAACGTGAGAAAAGAAATATCATCGGTTTTATTGATACATACGTATTAGCGTTTTATATAATATAGATTTTTGTGCGAATTATCTATGGAAAGGTGGGTTTTAGAATTCTGTGGCAATTTTTTTTTTTCTTTGGTGAAATAGTTACAAAAATAAGGCGAAAAAAAAAACAAACTGCTCTCCTGACTTAATTACTGGGACCATATTTTTCAGATAGCAGCTATCTCGATAATCTGAGGTAAGAGCCGTGATGGCTCAAGGGATAGGGCGTTCGCCTTCCAATGAGGGGAAACGGGTTCAAATCCCAGTGATGGCTGGTTGATTCGGATTCCGCACCCGGCTTGCACCGACCACAGTGCTGACGTAAAATATCCTCAGTGGTAGACAGATCATGGGTTAGAGTCCCTTTGCCGCCAGGCCAACCGTGGGAGGCTTTCGTGGTTTTCCTCTCCATGTAACACAAATACGAGTTAGTTCCCTCAAAAAGTGCTCCACGAAGGCAAATTTCTCCCAAGACTTGATCCAGGAGTCTTCTGGATTGGGTTCAAAATTACAAGGCTACGGAGTTGAACATTGGTAGTTCGAAGCCCAAAATTAGGTCGGCTGTTCAACAACGGTTATTAATTTGAGGTAGCAACTAATAAATAAATTAAGGGTATATTTATTAAGACAAAATACGATCTATCTCTAGGTCTGAAAGTGAAAATCCGATCATTAGTTGAAAAATTATTCATGTTTCCATTTTTAACATATAACATCATTTTTATGTACTTTAATTGATTTTTATATACTATTTCAGAAACAGAACATGGGGTCAGCAAATTTTGCACCAAATACGGAAGAATTTCAGAGAGGTCGAGCTGAGGTTATTCGCTTACAAGCTGTAACCAATAATAATCAGCAATCACTGGAAAAATCTTCACTTTGTAATTTAAGCGATGTGGCGCCTGAAAATTCGACTCACAAAGTATATATTAATGAAGATTTGGATATTATTACAAATGAATCCACTGTATCATCTCAGGTAATGCTAAATTTAATTTATTGATTTTTTTTTGAAACTACGAAAAGTTGCATTGAAATAAATTTTAAATTATATGTAAAAATAAAAAAAAATTAATATTTAAATATAAGGAAATAACGGTTTGGGAATTTTTTTTATAACATTTGTTACGTCAAAAAAAGTAACAAAATGTTTTAGTACATTTACTTATACGTTTGCACAAACACATACCTATGCATATGCAGTACATTTACTTATTGTTCTAAAATGTTTGATTTTTTTCTTCTGTTACATGCAGGCTACTAATTATTTCGAAACTATTTGAAGTGTAGAATGAAATATTTAGTAACATAAATTTTTTTATGTGCAAAAAATGGATAAAATAAGCTGAATTATGATTTCTAAAAAAGATCTGTTTCACACGACGAGAATAGTTTTTAGGAAAACGTAATTCTTTATTCTTGAACTTTAATTATTTTATTTTGAGCTAGAAAGCTCGATGGGAAATTTTGTTACTTTTTTCATTCGAATTTAACATTAAGAAGTTGATATAAACAAGCGAAATAGTAAATAAAATATGAATATTTGATTAGATATAAATGAAATCATTGCTGTTAAAAACTGTCCTAACTCTCGATACCCCTGACATCGTTCCACGGAACCCTAGGAAACCGCAGCACTAAGTTCTTCATTTGTTGTTAATTTCTCTAATTATTTTTTTAGTAGATACGCTTGAAATACCTATTATTTTGTATACCTCCGTGAAAACAAAAACTATTCTACTATATATATTGAATATAGACGCTATAATTACATATGCATCTCTTAATTCCAGGTATCAACTGCTCCACTGAAAGAAATGCCAGTGTACTTAACACAAAATGATTTTCAAAATATAAATCCGAATGTGGGATCGGATATTCTTCAAACTGCAGTATCCAGTATTACAGAAAATATTGGAACAACATACCAACAAGTCATGTTGGACGTTCAACCCCCTGAATATACTATGTTAAACGCAAAAAAGGTAAACTATTAATAACCTGGAAAAAGGTGTGTCTGTTATTGAAAACACAAGGTAGCCAACTTGTAGAAATGCTTTTCAGTACAAAAAAAAAAAAAAAAAAAATATTTTTTCAAGTCAAAATGAAACATTTATAAGCCATGCAATTATTTAGTATTAAATAAATATATAATCCCAAGAAACTGAAACGGTAAGATATTACTTCATTCACTTCAAAAATATACAAATTGAAAATAACAATCGACATGTTTAAAATGCTTAAGAATAGGCGCCCATTTTTAAAGACTTGTTAGACGCCAATGAGAATAAACGAAAGTGATTAGAATTATAAAACGAAAAACTGCCATAGAAAAATTAAGGTGAGAAACAAATCAAGAAAATCCACAATAGTCGAGAGAGATAAAAAAAAAAGAATCGTCAATTGCTGAAACGTCTATAGCACGTCAATCTAGCACAACCAATTGTTGAAACGTCTAAAAAAGTCGATCTGTTGTTGTTTCTAATGCCACTTGCCATACTAGCAAGCCTGCTTGGTGAAACCGAGCAAATTTAAGGCAGAGTGTGCGTTTCTTGTTTTTCAATGGCGCCATCTATGGCCAAGAATTCGACTTCTGCCGCTTATAGGGCGGACACATTCATACATCCACAGATCGTAATTTTGACCCGAATCAGAGAACGATCGATCCCCAATCCAGTACCCCCAGAGGTATTGATTGAAAGTCGATCTATTCATGTCTAGCAACTTGTTTTTATTTCAAATCACTTTTGCTTTATCTCATTCACCTTTGGCAAGTCTTAAAAACGAGTGCCTGTTTTTGAGCGCTTGAAACATGTCGATTGTTATTCCCGATTAGTATATTTTAGAAGTGAATGAAGTTTTTAATCAGGTAACATCTTCTTACCGCTTCAGTTTCTTGGAATTATTTGTTCAATATTTAATGGTTTTTTAACTAAAGAGTAGTTAATAATTTACTACCCTGTAGTTTAGAAATTATAAGATGCATAAATTTTTTCCAGATTTAAAAAGGAAAAACATTTTATTATATTAGTTCCATAAAAAATATATTAATTTCACAAATATTAATGATGTAATACACAAATGTAATGAGATTTGAAAACGGAATGTAACTTTTTCCACCATGCTCAAGCTGCTACATCCCAGTATCTCTGGAGCATGTCCTGGACTGCCTCCTCAACATTACCGTTGGGGATCTATTCCTAAAACTATCAATGGTTATCTCAAAGCTTATGGAACATTTCAAAGACCTGCTTTAGAGCTAATCAAAACCATGGGGATCAATTCTACCATCATCACGAATATTTTATAACCGTCGTTGCCTTGTAATTTTGAACACAATCCAGAAGACAAGGGGACTCTTGGATCAAGTATTGGGAGAAATTTTGCTTCCGAGGAAGACTTTTTGATGGAACTAACCCGCATTTGCATTACATGGAGAGTAAAACAAAGAAAACTTCGCACAGTTAGCCTGAAGGCAAGGGGACTTTAACCCATGATCTACCACTGAAGATATTTCGCGTCAGTACTGTGGTCGGTGTGAGCCGGGAGCAGAATTCGAATAAACCAGCTATCGCTGGGATCGAACCCGGGTCATCTCATTAGAAGGCGAGTGCTCTATCCTCTGATCCACCATGGGTCTAAATTGTTCTCTTCAACGTGGAAAAATCGTAATTTATCAATTATCAATAAGGCCGTGGCGGCAAGTCACAAGCTGCAACTTTATAACTCTAACACTCTTCTTCTTAGGCACTACAGCCTGTTACTGGTCTAGACAGTCTCAGTCAGTTTACCCCTTCTAGATCTATTTTATGACTCTAACATTATTCCTGCAAAATTATGCTTTTTCTTTGGAAATATAAATACCCAAGATATTATTCAACACTGCTTTTGTGCAACCTTTAGTTGTTATTTTATGTTGCATAACAGTCATTGAACAGCCAACTCAATTCTGGGTTTACGACTACCAACGCTCAACTCCGTATCCTTGTAATTTTAATCTCAATCCAGAAGACAAGGGAGCTCCTGCACCACCAGAGGTATTGACTTGTTATGGGAACATGGAGGATTCTGTGACCCGACAGATTTAACCTGCATCAGTCACCATTTACTACACGGGGAGTCTTCGGTTGGTGGGGATAGAAACCACGATCTCTTCGACATGGGCCCAGTACCCTACCAACCAGGCCTCCCCTTGGTTGTTATGTAGAAAATGCTTTCTTAAAAAAAAAAAAAAGAGCTTTTGGAAATTAGCGCTTATGTTAAGTGGATTATGTCCAGCATGCCTAATTCATTAGCTTCAAAAAATATCGCAAGTGTGTAATTCCATTTACAAATAAACTACCTTGCGGATGTTTTACGTCAGCATTGTGGTCGGTGCAAGCCGGATGCGGAATTATAGCTTTGCTTCAAGTGTAAGCCACTTAAACTGGGGATTTATTTTTATTTTCCTTGGCGAAAGAATTTCGAAAAGCCATGCAAAGTTTACAAAAGCCTTCCATTACTCCGTTACCTGTAGACACTTAAAACAATCCGTATAAGATGGCATCCCTGCTTATTTTTTAAGGCTATTTTTCAAAGGCTCTGTTTGTGACACGAAATAAAATTTTTAGCCAATGCAATGCTTTTTTTTTATATATAACTGTTATGAGCTTGTAACATATATGTGTAGCTGTTGCATTAAGTTCTGTCCATCTTTATTTAGAGTTTAATGCAAATTTTTTTTTTTTTTTTTTTTAAATTTTCTTTAGTTTCGTAAAATTTTCTTAATCGACAACACAGGATCTTTAAATATTTTACAGGCTTCAGACGTGTCTGCTATGAATGGGTTATCATGGGCAACTAATTCAACTTCTAGCAGTACGACTGCAACCAGCGATTGTTCCACCGCCAGCAATGTTCTTTATCAGACAAGTAGTTTGGGTACCAGCGATGTTTTAAATGAGTATCGTGGGTAAGTAAATTATTGTATAAAATGTATTTTAATTCATTCAAAGTTTTAAGAGTAAAGATGGAATAAAATGGTATTTCCATACCTGCCAACTTTTACGCATTTGGCGTAAAATTTTATTTTAATATTTAAAGTGGTAGTAAATATATATATTCTTTACTTTTATAAACTTAATTTTTAAATGATTTTGATCACCACTATTCTTAAAAAAATTAAGCATCTATATTAATATGTGTTACTACCATGGTCGTCAGCTTAAACTTTTTCAAATACAACATATTTTTTTGCTTAAAATTGAAATTTTAATTCCATTTCAATACCACTGGGAAAAATCATAATGGAAGAGATTAAAAGTTGGCAGGTATGTATTTCATTTTGAATTTTCCTATCCGAAATAAAATGCAATTTTAACCCACTGCTGGTTTAGCAAATGGGCAAAATTAGGAGAAAGTTTCTCCCAAATATTCATTTCCCTATCTAATAACATGGAAAAACCGGTTTTTCTATGCGGAGAAGTTAAACTACGACTTTTTATGTGCAGAACCGTAAGTTGGTTAAAGCTAGCGCCTCCGTGCGTACAGAGCACCAGAATAAATAATAATAATAATACACTTTAAACAATTTTTGATCTAAAGATCGGATTTTCACGTACTATGACTAATGGTTCGACCGCAAATATGTTAGTTAAGTGTGGACGATATTTTAAGTTACGAAATCAGACACAAAAACATATTTCTCTGAATAAACAAACCTTTTTTGTCAGAATTTGATTCTCGATCTTTAAAATATAGGTAGGTAGTAGCCGCAACCTGGGAAATAGGGTTCCAATAGTTTGGTTTGGAGATATTTAAAATCCGATTTCTCAAAAACTTTTCGACCGATTGCGTTCAAATTTTATAATTTGTCATATAAAATTACATTCTTTAAAATGATGTAAAACTTTGTACCATTCAAAATTTTTTCGACTATTATAAAATAAAATAATAACAAAAATATTAAAATTATTTTTTGCATGAAAAATCTGTGGATAAACAAATATTATTATGTGCAGAGTGTTTTTTTATTAGCTTAAAAAATTCTAGAGATGAGCCGAAATAAGCAAAATGTAAAATTAACAATAAGGGGTCCAAACTTAATACCATTCTTCTAACCAAACTACTGGAACCATACTACTACCCATATTTTGGGGGTCAAAAACCATATTCCGTCAACATAAAAAAAAAGTGTCTCATTTTGTAACTTAAAATATCGTCTGCACTAATTAATTAACATATTTTAGGTCATCCCCTTGAACCATTAAGATTGAATAGAAGAATGTGAAGATCCGATCATTAAATCAAAAGTTATTTTTACCACACTGTTCAAGAAATCTTACATTTATATTTTTTTACAGAAGTAAGGTAAAATTAGCTTTTAAATTTACAGTTAATTACAAACAATAGGTACAGAATCATTTACTACAGAAAAAAGAATTTAATATGTCAAATTATAAAACAAAAAATCAAGACTGAGAAAAATAAAAGCAAATAAAGAAAACAATTCTATAAATTGTTTGCTTCTAGCCACATAAGTTTCTGTTATGAGAATATTTACTGTTAATATATTTTTCTAAGTCACTTAAGTAGTTCACTTTAAATATAATTAATTCGCAACTAAACATAGACAAACTTTATAATTTTTAAGAGAATAAAAAATAGTAAAATAAATAAATATCACCATTTTTGAAATATCTTGTAGAAAATTGTCTAATTACACAAATTCGTGACTTTTTCCAGGCTTCTGCAAAATTTTAACTTTTATTATAACAATGAAAAAGCTTTGTAGTTAAGTTATTTTCAATGCCCGTTGAAAGCTAATTAAAAATAGACTCGTAATAAATACTTCTCCTACTGAAGTATAGTAAAACAATAACCCATTCTTTCCACTCCTTAGCATTAAAATGAAATAAAATATGATTCCTTATTCTCCTTTATCTACTTAAAATTGAGGAATGTAAATAAAAGAATTTCTTACAGATATTTTGGAAATCTGTTAAATATTGTTGATAATTTTTTCTTTGTTTGGAAAGCAGTATCTTCCAAGAAGTGCTTTTTCAAAGTTCCAGGAGCGCATTAAATCCGGAGATTCATGTGGCAAACTTGTTACACAAAAGGTCAAATTGCCTTTTTTAGTTACATGAAACATGTTATAGAACTTGATTGTAAATAATCTAAATGTAAATTTTGTAATCTATAGCGGCGCATTAAATGCAACATAAACCTGCATAAAGAATGTTCATGCATATATCACATGAAGTAAGAATTTGAAAGATAAATGAGATCATGGAAATCAGATTATTAAGTTTATAAGCAATTATTAATTTTTTTAAAACTAAAACTTTTTCAAGTTTGTGTTTGCCGAGAAAATCATCTAAATGTATAACAGTAACAAAAAGTAAGAGGTTTTTCAATTCTTAGTATAAAACTAAGAGGCATTAGGAGGAAAGCATGCTTTTATATTTAGGTACTGTTTATTATCAAACTGCCCATTTTGGGAACGCATAATATATGCTGAGATAGATTAGGAGAAACATCAGTGTTTGGAATACCGGTTAAATGCGCATACTGGGCAGTGACCTTAAAAAACATTGCTTTTAGGCATACGGGGCAGTGGCACCTGACTAGACCTAGTATATATTTCGGACATTTTCCAAAGCGACTATGTGATTTTTCAACATTCACTGGTGGAAGTCAACTACCACCAATTTCAATCATTCACAGAAACATATATACAAAATCTCTTGTTTGATAGAAAGTGTTCTGCTTTACATGCATATTATTAAAACAAAATAATTCTCAAAAGTTAATTAAAAAAATGTTATTTGATATAATGGTGGCTAATGGTTAAAGTCTGTTGTCTCCTAATGTTAAAGTAAGTGTAAACTCAAATGTTAATAAAGTTATTTGTCGATCTTTATCTCATAAATATTTATGGTCTGCCTGTTAAATTTTTTTTAAAGAGTATACGTTTTACTCATATTATTGATTTTAATAAATCTATGCTTGTGATCATATTAAGTATGTTGTTTTCAACAGGGTGGAGAATATAGGGATTAATTCTGCTCAGACAATGGAAAGTTTTGTTACAGCTGACAATCAAGTAGTTTATGGTTACAAGGATTCAAATGGAGAAATGCATTTCTTCAGTCCAGCACCCGATGATAGAGAAAGTCACAACGAAAAAGAAAGGCGAAGAAGGTGTGATGGCTTTTTCAATATTAAAATGATATAAACAGTTATTTAAAAAAAAAAAAACTAATGCACCCTTCATATAAGACTTATATAGAGAACCCTTATATAGAGAGACCCTTCATATAGAGAACTGTTTTAATAAATAATTATTAAAACAGTTCTCTTAAAATAACTAAATTGAATAAAAATCTGTGTCTGTTATAAATCACTTTAAACTACTTCTATAGATACTAATTTTTAGACAGTATTTTATATTTCAAATAAACCAAAAACTATAAAAGTTTTCTTGCTTTTTGAAGAAATTGTAAAGAGTTCAGCAAAACATACTGCATCCAAAGTGAAACCTAATTTTGATAGCCATGAAGATTAACTCAATTAATCATAACCATGAACTCTAATCTGTGAACAATTAATTTAATATACAAAAATGAAAAGATTTTTGGTTTTTATTCTTTTAAATATACTTAAGATACATTTATTTAAGAGCATTTTTATTTCTAAAACAATATTTACAAATGTTTTTTTAATGAAAAGTGTATTATTTAACTTTTATAAAAATTAACTTAATTATTTTTGAAAAGATATTCATATATATATATATATATATCTATATATATATAAATATTAATATATATATATATATAAATATTCTTATCATAATAATTTAGGAATTTTTTAGTGTTTGCTTCAGAAACACTGGTCCCCCTTTAATTTAATTATTTTAATTATATAATTTTCCAATGAATGCTAAAATTTCAAAACTTTTATATTAAGCCTATTTTATTACAAGTTTTTGGTCCTAAAATGGTTTAAAACGTTAATAAATAATAATAAAAAAAAAGAATAATCTACTTAAAACATGTGTATAATATCCATAAAAAAATAAGAAATCGGTGTAATAAATAATGGAAAAGTGACCTTTAATATTAAAAAAAAGATTGATAAAAAAACATTTTAAACTTTACTAAGATTGCTACTTCGCAGAAAAATCTTTCGAGTAATTAAACTACCTGTCAGAATTTAAAGTTTGTCGCATATTTGGCATGATGACACCAGACCTTTTTAAAAAAATCATAATGAAAACTTTCAAAAATGTCATTTGTGTTAATGTAAGACTTGCAGTCACTTTAATTCCAAAGGAACTACAAAATTTGGTACCTCTTACAGTAACAATACATCCTGATACATATTTGTTCTCAATATTTACATTTTTCATACGTTTTCAGTATCTATTTTACTAAAATATAATTATTACACTAAAGTAGTTCAATAGGAACAATTTTGTATCAACAAAATTTTATACTACGTCATTTAATAATAAAATGTATTACATAAGTGTTTTAAGTACTTTTTGAGAAATGTATAACTTATTTAACTAACGTACTTTCCATTTTTTATGATAGAAGTCGTGTCTCTATAGCCTGTAATTCTTTGCGAAAAATGATTCCTGGAATAAGTGAGAAAACTGATAAGGCAACAGTTTTTGAGCAAACTGCGAAATATTTGAAATTTTTAAGAGATAAGTTTGGAACACAGTTTGATCAAGTAAGAATATTTCAAAAATTCGAAAGGTCGAGAAAGTATTGATGCGCTGTTAAAACATTTAAAAAGAATTATAATATAGTTAATAAACTGAGTATTACCTTATTACCAATAATATTACCCTACTATAAAAACAAGTTTTAATAGCAGTTCTAATAGTCTGCAATAGTATTGATTGTTTGGACAAAGACTGATAAAAATTTTCTTTCCTGATGTTAATTTTTGTGAACCGTCTTAATTACAACTTTTTTAGTTAAATCATAATTTTTGAGGCAAAGTTTTATTTTATCTAAAATATGTAATTGAAAAATTTAGTAAAATATTAACATACAAATCCAATTTTTAAGTAATCAGCACAGCCAACCTTGGCCAAGTACCCAGCTCCATTTTTAAATGGTTCTATCTTTTAACAGTCACGTCAAGAGTGTCACATAATTTTGACCCTGGTTAAACCCGAACAAGGATTGAGACAGTACCCACCTCTCCTAACTTTCATATCACCACAACCAATAACAAGACAGCAAATAACAGGATAGTATTCAAAATAAAAAAAACAGAATACCTTAATAAATTTTGATTTAATGATGGGATTTTTACGTTTGAAACAGCTATCTTAACAGTTAGAGGGCTCAAAATTTACTGTAGTTTGTTGGCCAAATATCACTAATATCTAACTCAGAATAAAACATATAATAGTAGGCCCTTGAATAAGTGACCAATCCCTGTTAATTGGGTGTAAAAGGATAGTTGTTGATTCTTTTTTTTTCTTTTTGTCCGCAGCGATCAGAATGAGGAAGAAATTTCAGATTCTCCCTATTTTACACAAAAGTCAAGAGAAGCTTGACTTCTCATATTTATGCCAAAAAATTCAGCGAGAAAGGAAAATGGGACTGAAAAATTTAAACAATCTGACACATGAAATAGTGAAGAATTTTTTCATGTTATATATTTTCATATGCTTCTTTAATATGAGGGACTGATGCATTTCTTTGTGTGGAAGAAATTTTTTGAAAGTTATAAGTGAAAGCGGGTACTACTAACATATGAAATCTTTTAGCTTCTGGTCTCTTTAACTAATAAATAAATTTTTTAGTTTTTACTCCTGTGGGTTAAACTGAAATTCGCTTAGAAATTTGAGTCGAACAGGGTTGTCACTCAAATCTGGAAATTTTTTCTTTCTTGTACATATAATACACAATATATTAAGAGGAAAAACACAATCATTGTGCTCCTCAATGATCTATATTAGTCTAGCTATACTAGTTTTAATTGCTGGAAAAATTGAAAGAAATAAGGATTAGCTTAACATATTTAAAACAAATAATAGTAATGAAATAGTTTAGTATGGCTGAAATATCATCCTTAAATATCCCATAGATTGCGTTTTCAGTGGTTACTACTTTTATAAGATGTAAATATGAAATAAAATTCCCTGTATTTTTCCAGTTTGTAAGGAATAACTCAAAATTCCCTGCATTATCCCTGCTATTTTAGGTGATTTTTCAATTCTCTGAATTTTTCAGGTTTTTCCTGTGGAGTGGAAAATCGGTAGAAGATATTTTAAATTTTGAAATCAGATGTAGAAACATACTTTCTTCGAATAAACATACCTTTTTTTCCTTTCCAAAGTGATTTTGATTATTGACGTTTAAAATATAGGGAGTATCTCAAAATATGATCTATCATAAAGAATATTTTATCGTGTAACAAAATGCTTTAACCTTTTTTTTACAGGCTTATTGTGAAAAATACTATCAAGGAAGAAGTTGAAGAAAATGCTGTTAACTTATGTGCACTATTCTGTGTCAGCTATTAGTTGTTATTGAACACAGTACAATGAAAAAATATACTCTGAAATAAAAGTATAACTTAATAATATCAAAACTAAGATGTTATGTTGTTTGATATTTTTTATTTGATTTCTGAGTGTTTGACAGTCTTTATTTAATTTTTATCGTAAATTATTTATCTAGATACTTATTATGAAAGATCTGATCAAATGAAATGGCTATGAAAAGTAAAATGCCAAAATGGTTACTTTCAATATTAGATTTAGAATATAAACATTGATCTTGTAACCCATATTTGAAATAATTATACCTCGCTACCATAGTCACCGCCACAGAGCCAGATGAAAGGCTAGGGAAGTGCTTACTTTTGACAAACTATGGCTGCTCTCCTAACAAAACTAAATTTCTTGAGCTTTTCAGAGAAAAAATAGAAAAATTTTGCAAATCGTTAAGACTAAAAGTAGCATAATTTTAATAAAAATTTAAACATTTATTTATAATTATTAAAAATGTATACCTCAACACTGAAAAAAAATAAAATTAATTCTTTGCACAAAAATTGTTCATGGTTTCAAACCTGAAATTTTCATGATATTGAATAAAAACATTTTTTAAAAAAAAAAATTCATTATATTATTTAATTACTGGATTTAGAGAGGTTTGCTTTAAGATGTAAGAAAGCTGAAATTATTAATTGGAATTTTTTGAAATTAAATATGAATCCATTATTAAAATAGCCCCAATGACAAAAAAAAGATGATAAAAATACCTTTAGATAGATAGAAATACCATTTAAAAGATACAATTTCATATATAAAAACGGTGAGTAATAAATTGTAACACTTTATTGGGTGTAAATAAAGTGAATAGACTCATTGAAAGAAATAAGACGAAAAATACTATATGCAAACATTCCAATAAATTCCGGAGCTAAGGGTAAATTTCCCAGATAAGTTAAGGTTTCTCAAGGGAATTTCTAAATTCCCTGAGAATTTCAAGCTATTCCTATTTCCAGAATGAGTGGTCACCCTGAGTTACCAGGTTTGCATGACTCAAATATAATGTGATTTTTTTTCTTATCTTAGAATCTTTCTGAAAGAAAGGGAAAAATATTAAGGTAAAAAAAAAAAAAAGGAAATCTAGAAAGCTGAACTAATACTTTTTAAAATAAATAGATTTATTTACATGCTTTATAAGAAATCACACCTAATAGAAATATCATAATTTTTTTATATAAAAAGCCAGTAACAGACATTAAAAAAAAATTATAAAATACAAAACACTCACATAAATAAATTTAACATCAGATCATTAAATATTTACATCTTGATTGATTTATGATATTTTACAATGACACATATAATTCACCAATACATAGATGAAAAGTCGGTTAAAAATAAAAATAATAAAATGTAACCTTGTCACAAGATACGTCAGAGTCGTTTAATGTCAGTTTCAATACCATATAGTTGGGCTTTCAAGCGTTTAATAGCTACCACAGTAGACTTTGATTGCTGAGCAGTGGTGTGCACTGTTTTTAACAATTCCATATCTTTCTGGCCATTTTCAAATATAAGTACGGCCTAAACAAATGAAAGATAAAATTTTTAATTTTCTAATAGCAATGCATAACGATATCAGTATAGCAATGAAAAGGTATTCAATAACAAATTTTAATAATAAAATTAATTTATTTAGGAAATTAAAGTTTATTCAGAAATCACGAATGAGATACAATTAACAATACAGCTATTTTATTTTGCAATTATGTACAGTTCACAAAAAAAAGGACCTTAAATATGCTAATTAGTCAGCGGAGACAATATTTTAAATTACAAAATCAGACACAAAAAGGGATTCAAATTTTTATCACCAAAAATATAGGGGGCAGCCGCAGTTCGGTCAGGAGAGCCATTCAAGGTGAGGACCACATAATATTAATTTTATTTTTGGGTACTTGCCATATCTCGAGAATTTTTTAAATGAAATGAAAAGTTTTTGCACATAATTATAAAATTAGTTTACCCAAAGATAATTCCATGCAAAAAATAAATTTCAGTTAATATTAATTATTTTACAATACATAAAATTTTTTTACATAATTTTAAAGTACGTAATTTTACATGACATGGCAAATACAAAATTTGAGCAAAATCGGTTGAACAGTTTCAAATTTTAAATAATCGGATTTTTTTTAAAAAAATTCGATTTCTCAGGAACTATTAAACCAATTTTGCTCAAATTGCCATGTAAAATTACTTATTATGAAATGATGTAAAAAATTGTATACCCTAAAATTTAATTATTATCATTATTTTCTTTTGCATGGAATTATCTTTGGATAAACGAATTTCATAATGGTGTGCAAAAAAATTTCAATTCACTTAAAAAGTTCTCGAGATATGGTGAAATATGCAAAAAATAAAATCAACATTATGTGGTCCTAAACTTTGGATTGTTCTCCTGACCAAATTATGAGAACCATATTTTCCAAATTGCGGCTACCCCCTATATTTTGGGGATCAGAAATCCAAATTTGTTGAAAAAAAAGTATGTGAATTCAGAAAATTTTGTTTTTGTGTACAATTTCGTAACTCAAAATATCGTCTGTACAAATTAATTAGCATATTTAGGGTCACCCCCTCGAACCATTAAGAATGAGTCCCAGAACGTGAAGATCTGATCATTAGATCAAAAGATATTCAAGTTGGTGCGTCTTTGTGGCACACTGTACATCCATTTTTAAAAAATAGCAGAATTATTAAAAATTTAGAACAATAAACAGTTCATGATATTTGTTTTTAAAAGTACAGTTAGTAATAACTTCACATTATCACTTTTAATAGCTTTTGTTTTAGAGATCAGATTTTCAAGGAAACAAATCGATCTAAATAATGCAACAGCTTAAATAATTAGTGAATGCTAACTAAGTTAGAAAATACAAACACAGAAACAAACTTTCTCAAAATGAACATACCAATCAGGAAAATATCGCTCCAATAATTTACTCATGAAAGTGTGTGAAAGTTATGAGCCTTTTATGTTAATTCTTAGTTTCTGCATTATTTTGGCATACCTCAAAATTAAACATTTTTCTTATGAATCAGACATTTTTAACAACTAGTAAATTTTTTTGTCCAAAGAAATCAAAGTATGGGCATTATAGTAGTTAAAGAATGGACATGTAAATATGTAGGTAAGTCAGGATAAATGATTGCTAGTAGACTTCTTCTCAATTCATAGTCAATCTGGCATTTAAAAAGAAATCAGAAGAGTGGGGATCATTTTCACCGTTCGAAAGAAAGAATTTTTCTTCGAAAGAAAAAGGAGCGCTTTCAAAGGCTTAATTAGGAAAAATAAGTATTTCTAAGAGCTTTTTGAAACAGCATGTAAAAATGTGCCCAGTCTAACTATACAAAATAAAATATTTAAAGATTGTTGTTTATCTCTTAAAACTAGCAAGGCAAAATCAGGCTCATGATTATGCGTACCATAAAGAAATTAAAAACCATTAAATGAATACTGATTAGATCTTGCCAAAGAAGCACCAAGCATGAAAGAATATGATCAGTATCAAGAATATGATATATTTAACGTCAAAAGATATTGTTCAAAATTAATTGTGGAAATCAAAAAGTACTATACAAAATTAACAAAAAATAGCAGATTATTTTATTCTTAAATAATTTCACTTTAATTAGCTAACTTATCTAACAAAGATGCTTTTGGTTGTGAGAACTAGTTATGACATTTTTAATGTACAAAGATTATCTGAACTTTTTGATCAATAAATTCTTACCATTAAATTGATCGCTAACCATCATAAAGAATTGATTTCTTCTTTCCATATTATTGCAATAAAAGTAGTATACACTAGTTTTGGAACCAAGGAAACTAGTATACACTATTTTCCTTGGCACTTTGCTCTTCATTTTCTAACTCTAAAACTAGTATTACACCACTAGTAAGTGTAAAATTTCATACACAACAATCTAGGCTAAATTTCTGGCACAACTGTCTAAAGATTTGGAGAGTTAAAATAATACGAAAAAAATATTGAATTAAGTATATTATTTACAATTAGAAAAAACAAAAACTAATTAAAAATTGTATAAACAACATACTCGAGTTAATTGTTTCTCTAAGTCTTTAATCTTTGTCTTGAGATTTTTAATGTCAGTTTGAAGTCCTTCTATTTCACATCGACGATATCGCTCCATATTTTTTAGTCTGTTCCTTAGCATTTTCAGCTCCTCTAAGAGTGATGCATTTTTAGACTAGAAAGTAAATAAAAATTAGTAATTTCAATTGAAAAAACTTATTTATTTGAGTAAAACAAACAAACAAAGAAAGATAAATGAACTTTAAAGTTTCAAATATGAATCGCCTACAAAGCCTTATTTAAAGATTATAATGCAAACATTATGTACCAAATGGCACAAATGGTTTGAAACTAGTTATGGTCCAAATTATTTAAAAAGATGAATTCCAAAATTTTATTACTCTTTTAATAAATTACAATATGTTATAATTTTCCGATATTTGAGAAATTTCCAAATTCTTACCTCTAAAGCTGCAATAGTTCCCTTGGCACATTGTTTTTCACTTTCTAACTCTAAATAAGCTTTTTCAGCCCCCTCTTTGTTGGCTAGGGCAACTTTCTTTTCATTTTTGGCATCCTTTTCTGAAGTCTGAAAAGAACATTAACTAACATTAGTTCCATCTAAATTAATACGATTCATCCGAATAGTCAAAGCAAATGTTTGATTTTATTTTTTAAATTAATGTCATAAAGCATTTATTCCAAATAAATAATAGAGATAGAAATCATTAGTTGTGTACCTTGAAAACTAGATTAGAGATAGAGTTATTGTCGCTTTCCTTACATCAGATGGAAAAATAACCATATTCATGCGCATTATTTATTTCTATTATTGTGCCTTTTTGTCAAAGAGAAACACTTTATCATGCAGGCGTAAAATCCTCTTAACAAATTGTATTTGCAGTACCTAGAAGAGCACAAAACCTGACCAAATGAAATAAAACTTCGACTCAAATGGTTGATGCGGAACCCTCCCCTCATTACAAAAAGAAAAATTAAAATGCCAACATAAAAAATTTTATAGTTGTTTTTGAAACTAAGTTCAATAAATTTTGAAAAGCACTGAAATTATTAATTAAAATTGAAAAATGGAGAGGAAAAAATGTAAAGGGGTTTCCTAATAAAACATTTCTTTTCAATAAACATTTTCTTTAGCCAAAACAGGTATGAAACAAATGAATATCTAAGACTTGCTTAAAATTTAAGGACATAAGTAATTTATAGACAGTAAAAAAATTATAAAGTTGATTTTTCTGCAGTGAAAAATTCTCTTTAAAAGTCAAAGTTCGCAAAACATAAAATCATTTTTAAATCAAAAAACAAAATACATATTCTAGCTTGAATATATTAAGAATATTAATCTGCATTTTAACTTTTATATACACGCAAATTGATATTGTTTTTATTTCATTTTATAACAGTCATTGAACAGCCGACCCAATTTTGGGTTTACAACTACTAATGTTCAACTTCGTAACCTTGTAATTTTGAATCTAATTCTGAAGATAAGGGAACCCCTGTATCAAATATCCTTAAATAGACAACAGAGTACATTTTAGCATAGCGAGAAAACAATCAAGTAAAAAACATGCAGTTTCAGAAATACAAATTTATTCGACGATTGTGACAGGTGAGCATGATTAAATGAAAAGTAGAAGGTATATTCTAAACAACTACACATTGAGTCCTGTGCAATATTGCGGACTCCAGCTCCGGAGTATCTTACATACTAGCTAGATCAAAAACAAAAGGAGAGAGCATGGTTAAGTCTTGTCTTTTCATACATCGAAATTCGGTGTCATCGACCAATTACCAGCTACTGAGCATCTTGCATAAATTAGCTTACAAATAGGTGGAGAGTTGAGTATTAACTGGCTTCTCCTGAGAAGAGAACATTGTGTCAAGAGCATGGTTAGTTACAACGGCCGATAATCTTTTATGTCGTCATCCTGTGACTTAACCTGAGATAAACAAAAAGCATAGATTTGACACGATTATCCATCATATTTCCAATAGAAAATTTTCATTCTGTGGCCCTCTTGCCAGAAAAGTTGTGTAAACCAACAATACAGTCTATGTTAATCATTAAACTTGTATAAAAAAGTTTGATAACTTCTAAAACATTTAAGTTATTTGTCTGTTTGAAAGCCCAGATAATTCTTCACAGCAAGATTATATGTATAATTTAAAATCATTGCATTGCTTCAAGTTTAAGGCACTTAAACTATGGCTCTTTTATTTCCTTGGCATCAGAGCTTCAAAAAAATAGTGTTAAATAAACATATGGATGCTGCATAAAAAAAAGAAAATTTAAAATTTTAATGTATTTTTATAGTATAATGAAATACTGCAATCTCTGAGATCGTTACAATTGCTTATGTCAACAAAAATTGTATGGACAATCAACTAGAATTGGAATTTCGAATAACCCCAATTTTTGGTAATCCTGATAGAAGATTGTCCAGTTTCCTAGGATTAGTAAGGTTCTACTGTATTAGCATCATAATTAAAGGGTATAAACAAGATAAAAAGAGCTAATTATACTCAAAACAAAAAAATAAGGTAATGAATACTGTCATGCTGAGATATGCATAACATTATTTCCTAATATTCAAAAACCATTTTATTATGTTATTTAATACTTTTTCAATAAATAAAAATTATTAAAATAATCTGTAATCTTCTTATAGCACAACCTTGAATTAAATGCAGAACAAAATCTATTTTTAGAGATTCCCTCTATATTTGTCTAACACTTTAGCATAGAATTCAAAAACCATTATATGGTTGTTAATGTTTTGGATTCATAATAATTCGTTATTATTTTTCACAATTTCTTTTCCGCTAACACATTTGAATGCGCAAGGCTGAGAAAAATAGCCCTGGCATTAAATTTAATAATTAATACATGGAATCTTTAACTTTCCTTGGCAAAAACTATGTTAACATACACAAAAGATTTGCCTTTTTGATTTCTCGGTAGACGGAGGTGTCCTGTTGGCCTGTAGCCACCCCCACATGGCCATTTTCTACATTTATAATGTATATTTATATTAAAAATTGAGATAAATTTTTACTTTGAGCTCCACTTAAATTTTAAAAATGAAGCATTTCTATTTATTATAATTTGATTCTTTATTAAGCAATTTATGATATTTGCTACTTAATTGCTTGCCTACATCCCTTCAGAATAAAATATGGACAATTGGAAAAACATCAATAAAATTTCTCTTCAAGCCAAAATATTTCTTGATATAATGGTAAATACATCAATCAACCCTTTCTTCAACTTATGGCTAATACATACATCAACAAACCAAATTATTTCTAGATAAAATATTTCAATACTTACTTTGATTTCTACTTTTAATTTTCTAATAGTAGCATTTAACTCTCCTATTTTCTCTACACACTGCTTGTGATCTGATCCTTGTCTGCAAAACATGCATTCAAACGGACCCTCCGGCCTTCTCGGAGAAGTTTGGCGAAAAGGTACCTTCTTGACGGCAGTCTCATTGCCATCAAAATCAATTGTGCGGAAAAAAGCCTTGTCTGCAGATTTTGGTTTATCTGCATCCCTGAGATTCATCGTCCTAAGGAATGTCCGACACGCATCGTCTTCGTCTGTTGGCCCTCTCGAGATTTGTAATTTCGTTAATTCGTTTCTCACGCCCAAACAGTCACGTAGACTTTCGCTTAGCAACTCTTCCGTATCTCTCAGTCTGAAAAATTGAGTTATTAAAAATTGGTGACAAAACTAAAAGGTTAACCGACAGTGGGAGAGTACACACCTATAAAATATATGCTGAAGGTGAATAATTAAGCTTAGTGAATATTCACTACACCCCACAGTGAATACACACCACCAGTGAATATTCACTACACCAGCAGATCCCATATTTTTTTTATGGTGGTCCCAAATTTTTTTCCAGCCATGGAACCCCAAATGATCAACCTTCATTTGGCAGAACCCAGACTTAATTAATAAAACAGGGTGCGTAGTCAGATTTTTCAACAAAAAATAAGCACTAAAAAATATTTTTAATCACTTTCCCCCCCCCCCAAAAAAAAATCTTAATTAGCATCTGTGCAGTAATATAAATAAATCTTTTTCTATCGTTTATCTGAATTCAATTCATAAATATAAAATCAATAAAATTTAGAAAAATGTTCAAAAACTTTATATAATCATGATAAAATAACTAGTTTCTGATAAGTATTGCAGAGTAAATTGGAAAAATCATGAATTTTTTGTAATTTAGAACAACAATCGATCGGTAAAGAAAAAATCTCTTTTTAAAACATAAAAAAATAAGCACTTTTTACAAACCCCGAATGAAAAAAGCACCTTTAAGGGCTTTTTAAAAACACTATGCACCCTGAAAAAGTATATAAAGACGATTGTGAATGTTATTAACCAATAAAAGGCTAGTTTATTTTGAGAATATTTAATAAGAGGAATAAATTTTTTTTTCTTCATTAATAAACTTAAAATAGGTTTTAGGTCTGAAAGTTAAATTCACACAACTGAAACTGTATCTAGTCTAGCTATGAATTTTTTTTTTGGTGTATAGCTAAAATAACAAACTACTATAAACCTTATAAATGGTTATTAGGGACACATTACTTCATTAGCGAATTTAATTATATTGATATGAAAATTTCGATGGGAAATACTAATGCAATTTCTTCGTAAATGATATCATAATTGAAATATAAAATAAACAATGGATTATTGATAGGATCTTAATATAATTACAGGTTTCAAAAATCGTTACTGAAGAAAAAAAATTCAACTCTTGGAAATCACTGGGTTACCTTGATAATGACGTTTGTTTGTCGCATAACCACTGCATTATAAAAAAAAGTTCATTAACTGCTGCGAATGTATACTATAAAAAAAAAGGATCTGTAATTATTTAAAAAAAAACCTACTGTGAAGAATGAAATATTTTAAATTAGGAATTTTTTCTAGGTGTATTGATGAAAATGAATAAAAAAAGTTTAATTATTCTTAAAAAAAAAAAAAAAAACTTTTATGAACATTGAGAATAGTTGTCAGAAAAACAAATTGTTTATTCTTGAATTTGGACATTTTATTTTAAACTGGAAGACAAGATAAGAAAGAATCGATGAAAATTTTTATAAATGGGAACCCCAGTGATTATTCTTTCTAGAGTACCCCAGAGGTTCACACAACAGAACATCTTTCAGAAACAGCTGAACTGCAAAAAACTCAAATCTATTTATTATGCATTTTATTTACATGCTTTTAAAACATCTTTTCAGAATAAAAAAAAGGGGAATACAAGAATCACATTACATTCTAAGCTAATTTTTTTTTTATTGTTACTAGTTTTAGGACCGATATTTTTTTTCCAGGCCAAGTTTTATATTCCCTTTCCTATAAGCTTACAATCCCTCTTTTTTCTTTTTTAACAACTAGTTCTGACTCATTTCAGATTATTTGGTTGCCGGAATATATAAAAATATTGAAAAACAAATTTTACTAATTGATTAATTAAAAGATAATCAACTGGGGCATAAATATGTAAAACTGTAATAAAAACACATAAGTATAATTGACATATTAAAGATGACAAAATATTCAGCATAAAGCAAGCAAGTTATAATTTAAATACAATGTAAATTAAAATAAGTATATAAACATTAAAAATATTGAATAGAAAAATAACAATAAAAAGAATATATATTTACAGTTTAATACATATTAAAATATGATGAATTATGTGGTTTAATACATATTAAAGTGACATGATGAATACGCATATTAACAGATATTCTTAAAAAAGAGAAAATTTTCCATTTAATTTAATCTGCAAACATTTAGAATTAAAACTTTTTGTTTTCCAGACATTTGTATAAAAACAAATACCTTTCGTTTTAACCTTTGATGTGTTATAACCCAGGGTAAAAGTGTTGGGAATTTTATTTCTGTGTACTACTTTTAAAGCAATGAGATATACATTGTTTGAAAGAAAATGTAACTTGAAATACCTCTGATTTTGAGGAACAATACATGAAATTTTTTATTTTTTTTGAGTTAATTGCATTTTAAAGATATACAAGTTTGTATATGAATAACATTGAATTCAGTGACACTCACAGCACATAAATCAGAATTCTTGTTACAATAAAAGAAATTTTTTTACACTGTTTAGATGCTAGAATTCTAATTTAGCACAAGGGTGACGGTAAAACATTTTTAAGCCAATTTTTCGTACAATTCAGGAGGAAAATTATATCAAGTTAATAATAATATCACAATAAATAAATACCTTTGCGATAGAGCTTGAGCCTTTGAACGATAGGCAGTAATTTGTGCTTCTGCAGCTAAAACAGTATCTCTGCTTTGCCTTGCTAAAGTTTCCAATTTGCTTAGAGTTACTGCTGAGTATTCGGTGAAGTTATCTTGAACATTTCTAGTCTATAAAAATAAGACACAACTCATTAACAAACCAAATCTTTTAATCTGAAAGTCTATAATTAAAAATAAGACTTAATTCAATAACAAACCAAATATTTTGCTTTGCAAGTCTATAATTAAAAATTAGACATTCAAATCTTTTGATCTTCAAGTGTAAAAGAACAAACAAAAAAATCAAATAAATATTGAAAAACAAAATGAGTAGCAAAAAATATAATGACCATAGTAACTTGATGTTAGATAAAAAATGGTTTCATCTGAAATTTTTATTTTCCATCATGTTTATCTCAAAATTAAAGATAGTTCAGGGACAAGGCTTTGTGGGTCCCATAAAATGTAGAGTACTGGTTAGAAGAATATAGAAAAAACTATTTTGAAAACCTTTTAAGGTATCCAACTGGTTTTGACAAATTTGTTGTTTTTTTTCTTCAAAAGGCTTAATTAAAATTTTAATGTTATGCTTGGTAAGCAAAGGTCCTAAAATTGTAATTTTAAAGTAAAGTTTAAAAATTTATGAAGTATTTTTAAAATAAGGGCAAATTTGAGCTTAAAAACTACAAAACTTAGACATTATGCTAATGCATCAATTTTTCACATTAGCTCTGTAACAAATTGAAATGCATAAATTTCAAAATTATTTTTTAAAATAAAAAATGTGATTACCATCTGTGTTTTGAACAAAAATTTTAAAAAAACTTTCAAAGAGACAATGAAATTAAGCTAAATATATTGATTAATAATTTTTTTTCTTCAAAAAATTCTAAATACTCTTATTTTAAGCAAAATAAAAAAATTAAAAATTCACACTTGGGACCTTAGCTTTTAGTTCAAATCATCACCAACATTTTTCAAAATCTTCATACAAAATTTCGAAGAATGCTTTGAAAATTTTTTTTTTTGTAATGTGTTTTAGCTTTAAGAAATTTTTTTAAAATCAAGCTCTTTCAGAAAATTCTTTTAAAATAAAAGAAAATTTTAAGGGAAAAAAAATATTATTCGAAATTAAATTTTTGAAAATTAATTTTTGCAATTAAGTAAAAAAAAAAAAAAAAACGGTTAAAAAACTCAAAACACTTCCGGTTTTGCTTGTAAGCATATTGAAAAACTACTTATAACTTCATTTTTAAAAATCAGAGATAAAAAATTCAAAGGGTTTTGTAAAGCTAATGAACCGAGGTTAAAACATGGATGATAAAACAAAAATCGTAACTTTTATCGAAATTGCCGATTTCCGTCCTGTCAATTTTCACTCTTAAACATATCTTAACCCTCCTGGCGTTTCTCCTCTCTCTTAGTTTCTTACTTCAAGCGGCAGACGCATTTTAGAAAGATGCTACGAAAAGTGTTGAGGGTCGGACAAAAGGTATGCTTTCCCCCTTCTGCTTCAATTTGTGGTTAAAAGGGGTGATTATCGGTCTAGGAGGTCCAGGTGGGTCATGACAGTTTGATGGATGAATCGCGTATGTGATTCACTTTTCCGAAAGTCATTTTTGAACTGTAGTCAACATTGCACTTTCCTCTGAAATATCAAGCAATGAAGAAGACATTTTTACTGATAAGATTATTGCTTTCAGGTTAAATTACATTTTTTCTTGTCCTTTGAGCTTGGACAATGATAACGTTGATATATAACATCAAAGGTTGTTATCAATATCCCCTGTGATGGTACTGAATAGGTTCTTTCTACTGATATTTTTTCCTTCCAAGCTCTTTTGACTTCTGTTGTCTCCCAGATACATTTGCCAAGTTTAAACAAAAAATGTGCATACTTTTTAATTTACTTCAGTTCTAAGTTCATGTAGGATGAGAACAATTTCGTTGATTAAAATATGAAATTTTTACAACAAATAATTGTAATAGATGTTAGAATTATTTAACTAAAATCTCAATAACTCATTACTGTTACTAACAATTTTAAGACTGGCTATTTTCCAAGAATAAAATAGGAATATTCCAGGTTTTTACCTGAATTTTGGAGTTAAAACATAATTCCCTGACAATTCCAGGTTTCCTCTGAACTGTGGGAACCATGATTAATATCATAATTGACACACTATAAAGAATTATTAGCATTCATCTTGTTATATACTTTGTCACATAGCATATAATGAAATTTCTAAATTTGAAATTTCATTTCTTTTCTTAGAAAGATAATATAATATTTATTCTTTCCGTTAACTAGGATATTTAAGGACAACATATTTTTTCTAAAAGAAAATTAAAGATCAACTTTAAAAGCCTTGAACCAACCTAATATTTTGAGAAGGAAATAAATGTTATAGTTGACTAAAATGGAAAAAAAGAGAAAAATAAAAATAATTTATATTTTAAACAAATAGAAGGAAAAAAAATTAAATGCTAAGAAAATAAATTTAAAGTATAATTCATACATAACAGAATGAACAACACATAAACAGTCAAATTAATAAATGGATAAAAATTCATCGACTAACATATTAGACCCAGGTACAGTTTTAATATAAGGTTCAGAACTGCTCAGATGAATAGTATTTGCTTGGTTTTCTTCATATCTTCTTCCAGGAAAACTCTGATAGGAGAAAGAAAAATCGTAAATATTTTTCATAATAATTTCAAATGAAGTTTCAGAACTGAAAATATTTTTTTATTCTTAAGCACTAAATAAAATCGTTGTATTAATTATACACATGCTGAGATGTACCTCAATAAGAACAAAAAATACTTAAGTGACATGGCAATGCCTATCTGCTAACATATTTTTTGAGATATTAAGAGAAGAGCACATAAAAATACTGAAAAACATAACACAAAAATTATTGAATGAAAAAATAAACTAAAAAATCACATGTTTGTATATGTATAAAAAAAATCAAATATTATTAAATTGAATGTTCATCCTTAAACTTCAAAGGCAGGAAAATTGGTTCCCTGTACTTCATATTTCATTTAAAAATTCTTTTTCAAATTATTATTATTTTTAATCAACAGAACAAAACTAAGGGAAAAAAAGCTGTAGATTTAGACGATTTATTTGCAAAAAGCTAGAAATTGCTCAATTAAAAAAATAAGCAAATAGCTACAATAGTAAGCTAAAGCAATAAAAATGAAAAACATTCTAATTTCAATTATTTTGTAACTTAACAATAAAATAAATAACCAAAAAAAATAATAATAAAGTTTTAAAGCAGTTAAAATTTTCAGAAATTACGAATTTCCCATAAAATTAAAAAAATTCAGGTTTTAAATGATGTTCTTAAAACTAAAACGAAACACAGAAAAAAAAAAAAAGAAATTATCTATAAAAGGATCTACAGAAGTAATCCATAAAAAAAAGATTTTTTATTAATACTAAAGAATTATGTATTATTTACTAGTAATATGTAATGCCCATTTTCCACTAACATGTATTGCTCTAAAAAATAATGATAACATTAAAAAAATATTTAATGGTGAGATATACTTAATTACTTATGACACAGAGTCAACGTTTTTGTCATCAAAAATCTTTTGCTTGATAAATTAAGTTTCAATAATTTAAAAATTTCTCACATATTTTTTTTAAAATCTATAAACTGAAGAAAGATTATTTCAGAATGAGGAATAAAATCACAGTTGTAACACTGTTGCCATGGCAACACTGATGTGAAGAAACTTCTGATAAAATCTTAGCCTCTCTCTCCTTCCCCTTTCCCACTTTTTAATTATGTAGTGTGGCTCAATGCCAATTCAACAATATTAGAGCAAGAAAGGGCTCTTCATAATTTTTTTTCTTCATGAAAACTACAAATATTCTATATTAAGCTGATAAGAGTTTCTTCCAGAAGAAATTTTTTTCTTTGTAGACTATAGCAAAGGAGAGAAGAAATAAATAAAAAAAATATCCAAAGTTGTCGCAGAAAATTTGTGCATGTAAAATATAAATGTTAAATTTAGTTTCTAAATTTATTTTACTTTAGTTTACAAAAGTAAATTTTGAATAGAACAAAACACTCTGATATAATTTTTCATGCAAACAAATTTCTCTAATTAACTAACTGGCGGTTTAGACATTTCTGTTATTACTGCTTCCAGAAGCCCACATTTTTATTTTATTTCTAATGGCAGATTAGAAGAAAACTGTAGACAGAAAAACAACCAATAAAATTAGAGCAAGACACAGAGATAACAGTAACAAAACTGAAACCTTATTAAGTCCAAAAGTATAAACATGTATTACATTGTTCATGTACACTGCTTATTTGCACCCTCCTTCAAATGCCCTTTTTTATTTTATATAAAACTATTCCTTCTTATAAAATTTCACACGTATGATAGACCTATACTTATGTTCTTTGAACAAATTTAATTTATTTAATGAACGAAAATTTTTTTTCTTCCAACAGCATAATCACATTTTTGAAATACTTTCTAAAAATAAAATAATCAGCAATATTACTTGCAAGAAAAAGATTAAGAAATAGAAAAGTAATAAAATGGCAATGGTTCATAATTAACTGTACAACAAACAAAAAGCCTTGCTGGTGCACGAAATATGTTAACTACAATTCTAAAAGTTATTAAATAGATAGTTACGTATACATTGAGAAAAAAACAAACAAACAATAGAATCTAATACTAGACCTTAAACACCATTTATGATTTTAAGTAACAACTCACCTTGCTTTCGTATTTTTCAACAAGATCGATATTCCGATCGATTCTCTCAATAATGTCGGTTGCAGTTTTAACCGAAAGAGCGGCATACTTAACTTTGTCTCCCAAAGTCACTACATCGGCAACACACTTCGAATGATCGCGAGCCACATCGTTCTCGTCTTCGAGGTCAGACAACGACACGGTTCGGTTTACGAGATAATCAAAGAATTTAGCCCTGCTCAGACCCATAGTTATCATTTCAGCCTCTGCTGAAGATACAGCTAGGTTGGTTATAGAAGCCTCAAGCTGCTGTATATCTCTTTGCCTGACTGTCATGTTTTGTTCCGTGATTTCCTTGCTTAGAGACTTCCAAATATTGCTGATGTCATAGGTTAAGCGGTTGCTCTTACGTACACAGTTCTGCAACTCCAAAATGTCCGTTTCTGCTGCATATTTGGATACCGCCCTCGCAGCACGTTGCTTAGCAGTATGGATAAATATATCAGAAGATTTAATGTTTGTTAAAAGCGACTCAATCTTAGATGAAATTTGGGTCACAGAAGCTAAAGAGAACTTCAGATCTCTCATGTCGGACGCAAGCGGTCGACGAGACTGCATGCTAGTTCTATGAATAACATCATCACTCTTACTAGAAGATGGAACATTAATTCTGGATCTAGACAACTGTTCAGCACTTTGACTCTGATGCGTACTCTGGCTACTACGAAGACCATGGATCTCTGATTCACTTTTTTGAAGACTGAAAATAGAAGCATTCATTGAAATTAATGAATTTTGAAAATAAATATATAACAGTGATTCTGATAGACTATAGAAACTATCTTTCGGATTTAGGACCTTTAACGAAAAGTGAGTGCAATTATTTGAAAGAGAAAATAAAATTATCTACAACATTTTAAATTTTCAAAAAAAAGGAGTAAACTTGCATTTCAATAATGTCCTAATAAAATTTCAATTGCCTGGATTAGTGTCCACAATTCTTTTTTTGACATAAAATATTTTTAAGAATTTTTTCTCAAAGTAATGACAGAACATATCAAGCCTTTAGTTTACATAGCTTTTAAAGGTAGACTAAAAGTTAGTTTTTATGATTAAGGGGAAAAATGGATCAAATTTGTTAATTTTACTACATTTACTAATTATTAAATCAATTATTTTTTTAGAATCTTAAATATTTTTAGGTTCTGACATTTCACACCAAGCCAGAAACCTTTACAGCTTTTCAAAACTATTTTTAAAATTAAAACAGAAACTTTCATGTCATATTTTTTAAAAATAATTATTCAGTTAATTTTATTCCCAACTATTTGTGCTAAGCACACAGATAAACTTATTAAGATTTATTGTACCATATATATATTTTTTTCAAATACAAATTTTTCAGAAATAATAAAATTTTTTTAAAAAAATATTATAAATTCTAGGATACCTAATTTACTTCATATAAAAATATTTAAATTCAACAATGTTAGAATAGAACATTAAATTGTTGAAACAAAAAATATACAAATGATATTACTTTTTTTGCAGTTTTCTTATTTCTTGCTCATCTTCTAAAATTTTTTCCTTAGATTTTTCTAACGCAACTCTACAGTCTTCTAGAATAACATCAGAATTATTCTTTGAAATTTTACTATATTCATCTATTTTTGACTGCAACTGCTGAATCTAAAATTATTCAAACCACCACATTATATGAGTATTTATTTAACTTCAGATTCAACATGAGGTGACACACAAATTCTAAATAAAATATAAGCATAGATGTGCAGATGAGTTTTTGTTCCAATGTTTATTTTCAGAAAGAAAAACCACTTAAGAATTAAATAAAATTGGGAATGTTAAAATGGGGAGATATCAGAAAATAGGCTACAATGTACAAAATAGTTATAATAATAAAAGCAAACAAACAAAACATGTGAAAAACTTTTAAAGATATTAATTAGTGTAATATCTTTAAAAGCTTAATGGTTTAATTAATGGCTTTTATCAAATATATGACATTAATTTTAAATTTTAGGTTCTATGGAAAAATTCAGTATTAGTCAATACTATTTTTATAAACATCTTACAATATCTCGTTACAATACAAAAATTTCTAAGCAAAAAATACATGAGAAAGAACACCTTAAAATATACTTTATGATTTCTATTAAAAAGAAAATAATGGTCTTAACTTTAAAAAAAAACCAAAATGCACTTCTATTTATTTCACAGGAATTCTGTAATAAAATAATATTAATTATTAATAAGATAAAATTTTTTGTGTAACTTTTTCACACTAATAATAACTATAAACATGATAAAAGGCATAAAACATTTGCAAAATAGCTGCTACTTCATCTAATATTATCTTTATTAATTTGATTTATTTCGTCCAAACGAAAGAAAAAATATTACATATAGCACTTATTAAATATTATACTTCTATAAGAAAATATTAAAAGCAATAATAATAATAATAATAAACAGAATATAAACAATACGGAATTTTTATTTAACATAAGCAATAGGGAATATTTTATAGACCTGTATTTCCCTACTAAAGGCAGAATGAAGTGTTAACATTTAAAAAAATTTCACAAAGAATTTCTTTACTATCAAAGAATAATACAGTGCATAGATTTCTCCCAAGTAAAGAGCCGTGAAATGTCAGACACATTCAAAAACTTGTTGAAATTTCAAATTTGCAGCCTATAAAACTTTGTGATAATATTTAAAATAATTTTAAAGCTAAAAGCTGGACAAAATAAACAATATTTCTTAAAAGAATATCTTGTAGATAGTGGATTTTTCACAGTGAATTCGATAAAGAATCACTACAAAAATCACAATTTTAAAAAATAAATAAATTTTAGGACTTAACAAATGCAGTGATTGGGTTTTATGCATTAGAATAACCATAAAACGTCAGACAAATTCACAAACATGTTGGTTGAAAAAATTCCAGCACACTTTAAAAAAAGAAAAGAAAAAAAAGGAGAAAATAGAAAATATTTTTTAAAAAAATATTTTGTACATAGGTGAAAACATTTATGATTTTTGTTAGGAATTTCATAAAGAATCACTAGAATAAACAAGATAAAGTTAATAATCAACATATTGAATAGTATGTTGGATCTGAAACTTCAAACTTGCAACCTTAAAAAATTTCGCGAAAACATTTAAAAAAAAATTCAAAGTAAGCTATGAAAGCTGGATAAAATAAAAAATATTTCTCAGAATATTCTGTATATTGTTAAAAAATTCATTATTTTTGCAGTGAATTTTCATAAAGAATTAATCAAAAATCATACATTTTATAAATAAAAAAAAAATCATAATTAATGCTTAAGTTGCAATTTCAAACTTGCAGCTTAAGCAAATTNAATTTGGCGAGCTTTAAATCATGTACAGTGCGTGCGCACAAAGAAAAAATAATAATAATAATAAAAAAAATTCATATTTTTTAAAAATAAATTTCAAAAAGAATTAACAATCAGTTTTTTTACAAGCAAATAATTGCATCATTTTTAAGTCATTCTTTCATTTAATTTCTTTAAAAAGAAAAATGGCTTTTGATGAACCAAATTTATGTTCACATTTTGGTCAATTTATACATTAAGTATTATTTCAATTTAATTATTATAATCAGCTTATCTTATGGATAAAATATGTAATAAGATGGAAAATAAGTTTGAGTAAGTTTCTTTTAAATTCAATTGTTTTGAGTTTTAAAATATTTGTTTATTATTTGCTCTCCACTTTCATGCAAAGGTAAAAAGAACTTTAAAGCTATAAAAATAACTCATTTTCTGGCAGTTTTGTAAACTAGGGAAAATATTTTCCCCCTTATCTATCAATCTACCATTTTCTCATCTATCAATTAGAAAAAATTGATTTGCTATGTGAGACAAAATGAAGCTTGAAATGCAACTTTCTATAAAATTGTAAATGTTTTGTTTGACTTGCAATAAAAATTCAATACTATTTGTCTGCACTGCTTTTTTTTCTTTCTAAATTTATGATTATAATATCAGAAGTAACTATTAAATACTAAATATGTACTAATTAAATTATAAGAGCAAATTTCTTTCTATAATTATGAAAAATTTCTTGGATAACAATAAAGGAATAGAGTTAAAAAAAAATTGTTGCACAAGAGAGTAAAATACAAGCTTTTCTCTTAATAATAATGATAAAAACTGAGAATTAAAATTGATGTTAATATAGAAAAAATCTAAATTTTCCTTAGGAATATAAAATTGTTGTTACATATTTCTGTTTTTTCACCCTTATGATTTTTTCAGGTTTTCAAATGGGCCTGAAAAATATCACTAATTTTAACTAGCTTTTCAGATTGTTAAAAGCACTCTGTCTGATCAGTAATAAAACAATCAACAATTATAAAACTAATAATAAATTTACACTTTTTCAATTACATTTCAAATATTTACCGACTCATTCTGAAAGGAGAGAAGAAATGAAATTTTAAAAATTACCTCATCCTTTAAGAGATCACTAGTTGATTTCTTTTTTGTCACAGAAGAAGAAGTACCTTAAGTACAACAATTAATATAAACATTTAAAATGTTTAACACACAAAACACAGCAAGGAGTAATAAAGAGAAAATTACAAATCACAAAATAATTATATTCCATAGATATAATGATTATAATTAAAAGATTTATATTTCAAGCCTTAAGAAGTACATAAAAAGTTACAGGATTGTTTGTACTCAAATTCAATAGGAAAAAAAAAAAAATCTTATCTTCAACCTTATTGGCATTTTTACAACAATAAACAATAATTTTTCTGAAAAACATGCAATAAAAACCAAAATATTTCAAGATCTGAAAGTCTGTAAAAAAAGAATTACAAGGCAAAAGTGAGAAATAAGAAAATTTTAAGTACTTCAAAAACAGTTTTAAGATGCAAGAATTTTTGAAACCTCTAATTTAAATTTTGAAAAATCTATTTGAAATTGAAAAATCTAATTTAAATAATACTTAGAGTAATACATGAAATATATTTTTAAATAGTTTTATAATTTAAAACCTTTTTAATGAAAAACAAGATGAAAAATCTAATTTAAGAAAATATGCAAAGAAATATACATAAATTATCTTTATAAATAAATGAAAATGGATTATGCGAAAAAATTATTATTTTGTTTAATCTTAACACAGAAGTAGCGTTGAAGTGTGATTGAGAACATAGTAGGAAAAATGAATACACATAGTTGCAGTGCAATAAGTAAAATAAAACCTCGTAAAACAAGAATTTTCAATCTATGATGAAGAAAAGAAAAAAAAAATCAAAATTAAACTAAAAAACTTGAAATACAATATAGAAATTCCAATTAGTCACCTCAAAGCTGCCTAGAGCCTAGGCAGAAAAAAGTCTAAAGGGGAAAATTCCCCTTTTCTTAAACTCTAGTATTTCTGCAGGGTTGCCATTTAAATTTGGAAAAAAAATTCTCTGTACATATTACACACAATATATTAAAAGGAAACACAATTACTGTGCTCTTGTGTGAGCTATATTGGGCTAACTATACTAGCTTTAATAGTTGGAAAAACAAGGAAGAGCATAACATACTTAAATAATGATATATTAAATGAAATAGTTTAGTACAGTTGGAATATCATCCTTAAATATCCCATAGATTAAGCTTTGAAAAGGTCACAATTTTTTCAAAGACAAAAATAAGAAGAAAAAAAAAATTCCCTGTATTTTTCCAATTTGTATTCTCTGTTAAATTAGGTGATTAGGCTCAAAATTCTCTGTTATTTTAGGTGATTTTTAAATTCCCTGTATTTTCCAGGTTTTCCCTGTGAAGTGGCAACCCTGTCCTTTCTCAACTTAAAAGGTCTAAAGGTGGAGAGGCTACTAAACTAATCTTCACAATGACACCAGAACTTTAAAATCGCTATTGGTTCAAGTGAAATCTAAAATCAAATTATTTCTTAAAATCCATGCCTCCCAACTCCTGAGAAGTCAAAATTTCTGACGTTATAAAGTAGCAATAAAAAATCTAATCTTCTTCTTCAAATGCACTACAGCCTAATATGGGTCAAGGCTGTTTCAGTAAGCTTCTTCTAAAGGACCTATCAGATGTCATGGTTCGCCAATCCAATGTCTTAAGGTCTGTTTCAGCATAATCCATATAAAATATTCATTAATAATAAAAAGAAATGAACTAAATGAATTATACTTCGTACCAGCTGATGTCCCTTCAACATGCCGAGAAAGTATTTCTACGTTAGGATCCTGAAGAATATAGATAATTTTGTCCCTAAGATCTTTATCTTTGGAATGTGATAAAAGTTGGCGAATATTCTTATGAAGCAACTCCTCATTTCTCTGTATAAAATAAAATAAATGTTTAATACCAGAAATTTTATAGCAAAAATTAGTACCTGAGGTTATTTTAAATAATTTTTCTATCATAAAAGTTTTATTTTTTGCTCAGAGATGATTAGAGTTCAAAACATTTTTTATTTCTTCAATTTTCTAAACAAAATTTTAAATAAAAGTTATTAAAAGTTAAATTTTAACAAAATAATAAAATAAATCTTTGTTATATTAAAACAATAATAGAAAAGGAAAGTAAATCCCTTCTGTAACAGTCCATTGTGGACCAGGGGTTCATTGAGGTTAAGGCCCCACAATTGTGTGACCACAATTGTGCATGATGTTGGCATTGTGGTCAACATAGTTCACTGGCCACTTTTACTTCTTTAGGCAAGCAAATATAATGATTTTAATTTACCTAATTTACTTTGAGAATAGAAAAACAATTGACAGAATGTCATGATTTAAGACATAAAAATTAAACAAAATATTTTGAAAATGGGATAAAGATGCTGCAATTTTTAAATATTGTGTGGATAGGTTGTGGGTAAAAATTAAAAAAAAAAAAACCTATTGCAAAAAAAGTAAACAACTTCTTATTTTTACTTATTTTCTGCTTTGTTTTATTAAAAAATTTTTCGAAATATTATAGCAAGATTATAATCGGTTATCAATGATAATTTGCTTAAATGATTCTTAGAAACATAAAAGGTGAATACGATGATTGATTTTGGACAGTAATTTGACTGTGATTTTTCAGCAATAATTGTAAATTATTTGGAAATAGATCAAAAAAATTCATAAGGTCCTAAGTATGATTTAAGTCAGCATTAAATTTTTTTAGACTGCATACCTGCCAAATTATTCCAATTTAAAATTTTTATTTGAATATTTAGAGGAAGAAAAATTTTATCGATTTAACATTTTATTATTAGTTCAATAAATTAATTTAGAATGATTTTTTTTCACAACAACTATCAGCAATTTAAACTTATAAAATTAAATGGCCATTTGTCCACCACATTGAATATGCTAGGAAGCTAGTCTTTTTTAAATCTTGTAAGACAGCAATACCAGCAAAGTGGACAAACAAAAAGTCAGAAAAGCCTGGAATTCAACTAAGTAAACCATTTAGAATTCAACTAACCAGAAAGTTCAAGTAACCAGAATTTTCAGAAGTCAATTGAAAAAACCTCTTTAAATTTATAATTTATTAAGTGTAATAATATTTTAGTTTATTTTCACATTGTTATGCATTTACTAAAATCTGAACCTGCACCTAGTTGTTCTCTATGTCATGTCGACATTACTATTAAACATATTTTAACAGACAGCGAACGATTCAAACATTTGAGGAACAAACTTTTTGGCAGCTTTTATCCTAATCTTCAATCTTTACTTGGTGACCCTATACATCACAACCTTTTAAAGTTTATCAAAACTATTGGACTATATTCTCTGCTTTGAAATAATACAGTAGTTTGACCTAGAGACCGACTATTAACCTAGTGCCTGGCGCAGCATAGCCATTTCTGGCTCTTGTGCCAATAAAATCCAACTAACCAACCATTGTCTTTAATATGTTTCTATAAGCAACGATTCAGATCATTAGCTTTATATTGATATTATCACGGTGTAAATCCCCCCCCCCCAAACAAATATTCAAATATGAAACACTGAAAATTTTGACATTAAATAATAACAATATAATGTACCACTTTATTAAGTTTCTCTTGGATTAGCGGTCATTTCGCAATTTCAGTTTTTTTTTTTAATTCACAACTTTAATTTTTATGGATGGCTATTATAGTTTTCCCCATTTATCATTATTAGTTTTTATAAAAATTTATTAGCATTCTCGTAGAAGCGATGATATTTTTCATAAAAAGAAGGGAATTTTAAAAATTGTGATCTTTGCTGGCGTAATATTTGGAATTTTCACATATACAAATTTTGATAATTTTCTGTGTATTCCACTTGGTGAGGTAACAACAACCATATATAAAAAAAGACAATAAAATATACCTTAAGGCGTTCATTTTCATCAGCAACGTTCAAAAAACGTGCTTTTTCTTCAAAACAGCTCAACTGCAGGTCAACAAGAGCCTTTTGTAAATCAGATATCTTCTCTACTTTCCTGTCGATTTCAGCTTCAAGTTCATACTTAAATACAAAACAATTATTGCAATGTGTTTTTAATACTAAAGAAACAATACTTTAAATACATTATAATAATTTTCTATAATTCGCTTAGCTGATAAATTTTCATATTTTTTTTTTTAAACAAGCATAAAAAGAATAAATTTTAGTCTGAATTCCCGCTTAATTTCAGAAAAAAAGAAAAAATTCCCTAACTTTTCCAATTAGTCCAGAAAAATCTATTCCAAGTTAAATTTTTATTGTACAATCATGGCCGCCACTCAAGAAATATTTTAAGACTGAACTTATTTTTTGACCAATTAATAGTGTCTAACGTTATTTAGAAGGATTGTTCCAAAAGTTATAGCTGACTTTCCTAAAATAAATATAAAATAGCTGACCTTGTATATCTTTTTGAACCAATTGCTGAGTTACCTCACTAACTTTTTCTTGGAGCCATTCATACTTCTTTTACGCTTCATTTACGACATGCTTTGTCCAAGATCTATAAATTCCATATTTTAAACAAATCATCCTTAACTAACTTCGCCCATTATTTCAAAATACGGGGGGGAATTCAAACTCAAGTGAATTTAGATTCAACAATATTAATTTTGTTTAGACAAGTAGATGGTGAAATTCAATCGTTGTGGTGTGACAACATTACTTGATGATTTTGCAATAATTATGAAAAACAAGGATGTTTTCATAAAAAGTAATAATCTTTTTAAAATTTATTTTACCGTAAAATAATTGCCATATTTTTTCAAAGAAATAGGAAAATAAATATGCAAATGAAAACTTAATAATTTGAAAAACAAATTGAAACTGAATATTTATTGGAGGACAGAAAATCAGTCCACTGATCTCTTCTGAAGACTGATTTCAGTCCTCAGGACTGAAGAGTGGTACCTACGTATGTACAAGGCAATAATGTTCATTCGAAACAGGGATGGCAAGTTTCTACCATAGCAGTAAAAAATCATTTGTAGTGAAATAAGTTTCTTCCAACTCAGAATGAAGAAACTCTTTTTTCAAAGAGAAATATCCAACTTTAAAACAACAATTTAAACACCCTATAACAGCAATCTAGTTAAAATGATAGAATCAATTTTGAAGCTATTCAGCATATCATTTTTAAATTTGTGAAAACTAAAAAACAACATTTTGAAANTTTGGAAATAATCTTAAAAAGAAGAAAAAACGATGAAGTAATACACTAATGATTATTTCCAAAATGATGGTAAGGTAAACATCTTTCAAAAAAGAAAGAAAAATCTTATGAGGAAAAAAAAAACATTTTTTTAAAAAAATGGCAGGAAAATTTATCGAATTTCGTTCCGGTTTCTTGGTTTTCCGATTTCCGGATAACTGGTTCCGTACTGTATATGTAATTATGTAATGAACTGTTAATATATGACAATAAAACACTATAGCCCTAAATTCATAAACTGAATATTAAACAAACACACTGCTACAGAAATTGAATTTCCTTTTTCTAAATAACATGCAAATTTTTATAATTAAATACTGCTTAGTATAAAAACTCAAAACTGAATCTTTAATATGATAGATATAGATTTTAAAAATTGGTATATAGCTAAAATAAATGTTATAAAAAGAGTTTTTCAAAACATTTTGAAGAGAAAATTAAATGAAAGATATTTTTTATAATATAAGAGCTAATCAATTGACTTCATCACTTTTGGTTTCCTTCATTTTGTGCAGTTTTTTAAAATTTTCTTCCAGTAAACTGGGAAAATTATTCTTACAGACAAAATTTCAACCTGGATAAGAAGTATATAATTTTTCAGTCAATAAACCGCAAAACTTATTGACTTAGTAAACAGTATTGCTGAGCTGCTAATATGGCCGTGATTAAGAAAAAATTTAAATCGAAATATTGTTAAAAAAAAGAATATTCTGTACAAATAAATAATCAGAAAGATTTATAATTTTAAAATAAAAAAAAAAGTTTTTTTTATAGCACTGAAATTTTTGTAACAAATAATTGTTACATCTCAAAAGCTATTTATTTACATTTCTCTAAGAAACAAAGTTTTAATGACTAAAACTTAGATTTTGATGACATTTACACTTCTAGACATCTTTTCTCTTTTAAAGGCATTTTAATAATTGGGAGTATTTAAGATTTTCGAGTATTATTTTCCATTTTTAATTATTTTTTGACTTAGGGTCATTTTTATAACATTAAATTTTATATAATTCATATTATATATTGTAGTTCATATATATTCATATTTTATATTTTCATATTTTATAGATTCATATATACAGGGTATCTGCTACATTTTAGATTTTCAAATTCATGACTTTTCATGATTTTCCATGACTAATTCCAAGAATTTTTCATGACTTAACCAAGTTGCTATTTTCTCCAACAAAAACGCAACAATAAATTAAAACAAGCATTATAATAACATTATTCGAAATAGGTATAAACAAAACTATTATACTCTTCATCTTCATATTTATAGATTTTGAACTTAAAAAACAGAGTAAGGAAAGAGTTGAAACAATAAAATAGCTGAAAAAAATACAAAAGCAAAAAAATTTTTTTCCAGCAGAATTATATTCTAAAGATACTTTTCTTGTTCATCAGAAAGGAAAGAAATACTCCTGATTTTTCTGTTCATTTCGGAATAAAAAAAATTCGCGGATAACTGGTTTGCTTCAACTAGAATTTTAAACTGATAAAATTTTAAAAAAATAATAATAAAAATTCTTAAATCACAGAAGAGAGTTTAAAGGATAATTCGCTCTAGAAATGATATTTTTTCTTTCATTTTTTGAAAGAACACCATAATTTTTAAAGAACATGATAAAATCATTTTATATTCAAATAAAATATGACTGAGTGGTGATTTTGTTGGAAATTCAGATATTTGGAACAAAATGAAATTGGGGGGATGAGATTCCATTCTTAAAAATTAGATTTTTCGGAGACCTAAATCCATGACTTTCCATGATTTTTTTAAAAAAATAGTAAAAATCATGACATTTCATGACAAATTTTGTTCAATACTGAAATTCATGACTTTCCATGATTTTTCATGACTTTCCAGGTGCGCAGATACCCTGTATATATATAATTTCACATTTTCTTCCTTTTCAAAAAGAAAAAAAAAATAATTGTTCAGTAAAATGTTTCTTTACAGGTATTTTTTACAATTAATTGCTTTTTAAATTACAAATCAAGCTTTTTAGAATTTTAATTTCAGAAATAATTCGACATGAGATAGTTTCGAGTCAGATACAATTCATTAACTATGGAAAAGAAAAATATAAAGTAAAAATCAAAGCAAACATACTTTATCGGCTATGAGCTGTTTTAAATACTTGTCTGTCTTTTCTTTATACTTATCCTCTCTTTTAAGTAATTCATCAAATTTATTTTGATAAAACTCAAGTAGTTTTTTGCTTCCCACATCCATTCTTTGTCTCTCAGAAGATGATGAATTGCTCCAAATTATTACTCATAAGTAACAGATGAATGTCCCAGCTACAAAAATAATAATTAATGGAAATGAAACCAGAGTAGCGAAACCAGGGCATGGTATTTATGCATAACCTATTTTATATAACATAATGAAACAAACACTAAAACAGATTTTTAAAAAAAGTGGAAATAAGAACATTACAGTAGGGAACCGATTATCCGGAACGATCGCTATTCCGGATAACTGATTTTTCCGGTTTTCTGAAAATCTACAAAAAGTCATTTTTTTTATTTTTAAATCCAACTAAAAAAATTATTTTTGAAAATAATCTTGAAAAGAAGAAAAAACGATGAAGTAATACACTAATGATTATTTCCAAAATGATGGTAAGGTAAACATCTTTCAAAAGAGAAAGAAAAATCCTAAAATCTTCTGAAGAAAAAAAAAATTTTTTTTTCAAAAAGGGCAGGAAAATTTATCGAATTTTGTTCCGGTTTTCCGGATAACGGTTTCCGTACTGTATTATGTTTCTCTTCTCCATTTATGTACTAAGGTACCACAGGAGTTATCAATTTGTTGAAATAAGTGATGCATGAGAATGATTTAAATTTTTTTTCTATGATGTCGATAAATTTTTTTAACCGTGTACTAAATTAAATTTCTTATAATAAGGTGATTAATAAAAATACAATCCTTTTTATTACTTTATTGATTTTTTTAAAGGTACTTCTCTCTTGCTCTCCTTTTTCTTAATAATAACATACATGCTACCTTTTCGTAAAAGAAAAGCTTCCCTTTTTCATAGACTGCAACGAGAATGAGATCTTGCTCTTTTAAAAGTATTTAAGTAGAATTTGTGAAGATACCGCTAAACTGCAGTAAATTTGCCCTGAACCCTGCGGCAGAATTTTTCGGGCTTTCTAGGACAAAGCAAGAATGCAGTTGCCATCTGTTAGTAACTGAGTAGCCCCAGTTAAGCTTTTCTACAAACAGATGGCAATTCCTTTCCTCATTTTCTTTCAGTATATTAAATGTGGGCATAGTTTGCTATCAAATTTCAGTTTGGTTAAAGATTTTTCGAAAGTTGTGTGCTTTGGTTAGAAATAGGAATATTTTAAAGTTGGTTTTTTCAACAATGTTTTCCTTTTGTAATTAGTTTATGTAATTTACTTTTGTATCTTGTTTTTGTATTATGCATTTTGTATTTCTTTTATCTTTTCCTGGATTTTTTACAAAACCTTTGGTACACAGAGAGAGCAATCTTTAGACATTTGTCATGCTCTCTCGATAGAAAAGGTCTTGTGTTTTTATGACTAAGGAAGCTGGTACCCCCTGACCACGTCAGCTTTGGCTGTGATTTTTATATTTTCTTCTCTAAAATGTTCTTTTGGCAAAATAGCTGAGTTTACTGTAGCTGGCAAAATGGGAAAGTATCAATACAGTGTCACTTGCTGATGTGATGATTCATGACCATTTTAAAGAAAATTGCTGTCCTCTTAAGATAAAAATAATTTTATAATTTATTTAAAAATGAAGTTGAACTTACAAAATTGCAGCATCATCTACAGGTGCTTCATTTTTCATGCAGAAAGAGAGAAAAATATTGCTTTATTTTAACACACTTTGTGATAATCCTTAACATTGCAACTAGATCCTCAAATAAATTTATTCACCTATAATCAAAGATAAAACAATTAAAAAGCTATTTTTCTTCATAAAAGACGAAATCTAAAGATCTGAAGAGAGAGACAAAGGTAAGAGTTAAACTATATTTATTAAGTAAAAATATAGACATAGATAAAATTATATATGCTTCTAGCTCTATTTAACTCAAAAGAAAAATTAGGAAAAAAATTTAAGTACTGAAGATCAGAATTAATTATTTTTTGCAGTACATGAATAAAATAATAAAGGTATCATGATAAATTAGAGTATTCAATAAGAGATAAATCTTATTATAAAGTATACTTTATATCGATTTGATATCAGAACTCATATTCTTAAGTCTATCTGTGCATTCTGTTCTGAAATTTAAAAAACAATGTAACCATCCTAACAAAAAATAATTTTTACTAACAAACTTACACAAAATTGAAATTAAAATTTTTCTTCTTAAATCAATAGCAAAACTTAGAAATAAAAATCCCTTTCAGATTGTTTAGTATCAAATATCTTAAAATCTCATAATTCATGCACATCAATAAATAATAAAGGACCTGGGGAATTGGAATCATAATTTATACGTTTATAAAGTATCTAAAATATTGCAATAGCATATTTATAATTGAATTAAAAGCTTTTCTGCGAAAAAGAACCACTTAAAGTTGTCTTTAAACAGTAAACAAACATAAACAGCTTTTTTTCAAATTTCGCGGAGTTTAGAAGTGCAAATATCTCCATTTGCAAAATACATTCTTTTTATAAGCAACGCAACTGTAAAAAACACTACTACTTTTATTCTAAAAAGTAATCGGAATTTAAAGCTCTAAAATGTCCATTCTCACTGCATGTGGTTCAAGCTGCTTCGATCACCTGATTAGTGAAATATATTTCCCGTGAAACACTCACCAATCAAATTCCTGCAAGTATATAAAATTTTTTCGAATGCTCCCTTTTCACTCATGTCTCGGGCATGCAATGTAAATAAATGCTCAGGTGGAGGATGTAATGCTCTTTTCATTCAAAAGAAAGAAACTTTATAATAAACTCCGCTTTTTTTTCTTTTCACGAAAAAACTTACAGTGGAAATCCCTATTTCAGGAATAAAAATAATCTACTAAATATTAAAAATCTTTCATATAGGATGGGTGGTCTAATGTAAACAATAACAAGCGTTCTTAAACCGGGAGAAATTTAGAAAAGTTCCTGTGTATCCCTCCGCTTATGTTATGACTACGAGGCGATGTGTGAACAAGCCTAATATTCTATGCAGTTTTGTTATTGTAATTTGGGTTCAAATCTAAACATAATTGTACCATTCATAAGAGCTTTCAGAAATGTATTGATTCTCAGAGGTCGTAAGGCCAAAAAAAATTTTGGAAAGTTAATATCTCATTGTGAATAATTCTTAAGGTTTGCCATGTTTTGTATTTTATCCCTTATTTGGCT